CGTGTTTGCGTTGGAGCGATCACTAAATCAACTTTCCACGGTCTTTCCAAATTAGGAAGATGGGGTGCATTTTCACCAACTTGAATAAATGTCGGCCTATATAGGCCTAATTTGGAGTGGGAGCGCAAAATTGATATTTCGTCCTGGGCGCCAAAACAGATCGCTACGCCTTTGTATATTACCATCTATAGTTTATAAAAGATAATCCATGTTATTAGTTATTAGGTACTTTTTGATAATGGGGATTACACATTTTTGCGCCCCTCTAGGGATGGCGCCATATACGACAGCCTAGTTCGCCTTATAGGTAGCGCCGGCCCTGTTTGTAAATTGCAACAGGCTTATTTTAAATTTTTAAATACATTTGTTGAAGCTGGTCAGTTGTTAAATCCCAGCTATACGTCATGTCCGTAACGTCATCTCTTACGTCCGTAGGTATAATAGATTGACGACAGAAGCCTGTGGTTGTATATAACACATTTAATGGGTCTAACTACACCACGATGGTAACACACAGAGAGGGGACGGGAGGAAGTACACAAGGGACATCACTCAAGATAACAATATTATAAATATAACTAATACAGAAGAGTGAGTTCCCTTGACCTCACAATTATTTCAATCTATTACATCCCTTTACCCTTAGAACACAATAACACATCTCTCAATAGAACAATTGATAGTATCCTAAAATCACCAATTATATTGTAACATGAACACTATGGTAGATTACATCCTTACAAACAATGCACAATATGCCACAACATAATCAAGATACAAAACAATAATGTCAAAGTCCTTTTGACCTTTAAAATCATAGGTCTAACTTATTTGGGACCTTGATTGTCCTGCTTGACCTTCTCAGTGGCTTTTGATTTGGTGACTCAATATTCTGACCATCTGGATTCTCTATCTCAGGAGGTCTAGGATTTAAATCATTAACTCCAGAATTTACATTTTCTGACTCCAGACAACTTGGTTCACTCATATCAACAGAACTTGGTTGTGAAACAAACTGAGTTGGTGTGAACTGCTCAGATTTGGTGGGATTGATAGATTCACACTTATTATCTGCACAAGTTATTTTCAACTTTATAAGACACAGGTCCTGTACATTGAACAATTTGACCTGGTATCCATTTTTCCTTTCTCCCATAATTTCTTAGATACACATTCTTATTAACACCAAATTCTCTTTCAATGGGTGTTCTGTCATGATTTACTTTTTGAATTGGCATCTGAAAGTATTATGCTATTATTCAGATCCTTAATTGACATAGATTTCTTTGCTTGATCAATTTTCTCAGGTAATCTGATAGTGCTTTCCTGGTAACCAAAAATACTGTTTAAAGTAATATTCTGGACCATATCACTTTGCAACTGTGATCCAGTATTTGAAGTGGGTGTATTAAATGGCAAAAATCTTTTTCTTTTCTTTTGATGTTACCCTTTTAGTTTCTGTAAGTGCTAATGATGTTAGCAAAGTTGTTTGATGATCACATTCCTTCTTACTAATGTATTCTCTTTAAAACATTTGAAATTGCCATATCACCATAATCATTTATTAAGTTACAAATACTTTGTTTAGGCAACTCTGACTGATAATGGACTGCATCTTCTCCATCTTTTATATTATCTTCACAAAGGGTTTTATTTCTTATTTAATATGGCCTTAAGTCATCATTCACAGACTCTTCAGGCCAACCATTCTTACAGTACTCATATACTTTTATTAAGCACTCATCTTTTTGTGTTTCTCTTTTAATATCATTCACATTTATATTGGAGTTATCCATGATAGTGAAGAGAACAAATACATCTTCTGGTACATAGCTCAGGCTTTGGTTTTTTTAAAGGTAATCTACTAAGACTATCTGCACTATTCTCAGATCCAGGTTTGTATTTCAATTCATAATTGTATGCAGTTAGTGTGATAGCCCATCTTTGAATTCTTGGTGAGGCATGCTCAGGTAGGGTTTTGTTTTCTCCAAATAAACCTAGCAATGGTTTATGATCTGTAAAGATGGTGAACTTCCTACCAAACAGAAACTTATGAAATTTCTTAACACCAAAAATGATGCCTAAGCCTTCCCTATCTAACTGAGAATAACTTTTCTCAGCCTGGTTCAAAGATCTACTGGCAAAAGCAATGGGTCTGTCACCCTTCTCATCCATGTGGGACAAGACTGCTCCTACACCATCTGGTGAAGCATCACATGTTAATACAAGTCTTTTCCCTGGGTCATAGTGAGTTAGTAAGGTGTCAGCAGACAAAGCCTCTTTTGCTGTATTAAAAGCAGCTTCTTGTTGTTTACCCCAGTGCCAAGTTGCATTTTTCTGTAGCAGCTTGTACAGTGGTGATAGTTTACCAGACAGATTTCCTATGAACTTTGCATAGTAATTTATCAAGCCCAAAAAAACTCTTAGTTGTTGGGTATTTTCAGGATTGGGTGCTTCTTTAATGGCTTTTGTTTTCTCAGGTTGAGGTCTGATACCTTGCTTGCTTAATATATAACCAAGAAAACTAATTTCTGTCAACATGAATTGACATTTATCTTTGTTTATCTTTAAACCTTTTTCACCAACAATTTTTAATACTTTATCAAGTGTTTTAAGATGTTCAGTGTCATTCTTACCAGTTATGTACACATTGTCAAAGTAAACACAAACATTTGGAATGTCCTTAAAAATACTGTCCATGACAGCTTGGAAAATTCCAGGGCTGGATGATATGCCAAAACATAGTCTTTCATATTGGTAGAGTCCTTTATGTGTGTTTATTGTCGTATAGACTTTTGAATCTGGATGCAGTTCTAGTTGAGTGTAAGCATGACTAAAGTCTAATTCAGTGAATTTGTCTCCTCCTGCCAAATTCAAAGAAATTTCCTCAATGTTAGGAATAGGGTACCTATTTAGCTCTATTTGCTTATTCAGTGTAGTTTTATAATCTCCACAAATTCTTATAGAACCATCCTTCTTTAACACTGGCACAATGGGTGTCGCCCAATCGGAATAGTCTACCTTCTTTATAATGCCATTAGATTCCAATCTACTTAGCTCATTTTCAATTTTATTCCTCATTGCATAAGGTGGAACTCTAGCTTTGCAGTATCTTGGATTTGTGTCTTTAATGCTTAACTTCACTGTTCTATCATTTAGTAATCCTGAATTACCAAAAACACTTTTATTTTCAGATATAACTTTATCTAGTGAAGTAAGACTAGATTCTTTTACATTCTTCAATGAACAAATACTCTCCCAATTTAACTTAAGATCACTTAACCAGTTCCTACCTAGTAATGGCGGTCCATTTCCTTCAACCACAAGAAGAGGAAGTTTAACACTTTGACCATTATAACTTACATGAACCATACACTCTCCTATTACCGGAACATTGTCACCAGTGTATGTTGTTAGACACTTGTGACATGGCTGTAGAGGCACTGATCCTCCTGTGACAGCGTCAAAATCTTTCTTTGTTATGACTGTTAGAGATGCTCCAGTGTCAAGTTGGAAGCTGATGCTCTTACCGTTGATATTAACTTGTACATTGATGGGAGCATGACTTATTGATTTCACAGAGAATAGGTTGAAATCCGGCTGCGAATCAGTTTGAGCATTTTCACAGGTAGAGTGGTTCATTGGTTGGGTTAGGTAGTCTTGGTGAGAGTTAACATAGTGCTGCTTTTGGTTGCGGTACTGTCTTGACTGGCTAGATTTAGCAACAGACGAAGACTTTGCAACGCAGGCCTTGGCAATGTGACCTTGCTTACTGCACTTATAACAAGTTGCAGACTTGAACTTGCACCGATGAGATGCATGGGGACCTTTGCATCGATGACATTTTTGATAATTATTACTAGATTTAGATCTAGGATTTGAACGAGCAGGCTGTTTAGCATAAGTTGGAATGCTCTGATGGGGTTGATGTTTATTGACTAACCTGCTGTTTACTGCATGGATCTCTGAAGGTGCTAGAGATTTCGCCGCATCTGATGACTGCTGGATTGAAGTTGCAAGTTGTATTGCTTTTTCTAATGTTAGATCTGACTCGAGCAGCAACTTTCTTTGAATATCAGGGCTGTTTACACCTGTCACAAACTTTTCACATAATCTGTCAGACAGCGTGTCGCCGAATTCACAAAATCTACTTAGATGACATAAAGCAGCAACATATTCTGATATTGACTCGTTTGGTTGACGAGTCCTACTGTCAAATCTAGCTCGACATAGAAACTTTGATGGGGTAGGCGCATGGTGGTCTGTTAGCAATTTGCTCAGCTCGTTAAAGCTCTTGGTAGTTAGACTAGCTGGTGTGCATAAGTCTTTTAGTAGCCTAAATTGTTGAGGCCCTATGACTGTTAACAAAACAGCTCTCTTTTTGGCTTCTATCGTCACGTCGTTAGCTTCTAGGTAAAAGCTTAACCTCTCTAGGTAATCTTGAATGATTTCATCATTCGCATCAAATTCTTTTATTTGGCCGTACAGCGCCATAATTCTAGAAATAATTAGCTAATAAGCTCTAGCAAACCTCTTTTTTGCGTAAGTAGGTGCTCTTTCTAGTAGATGTTTATCCTTCGTCGCCAGTTATAATAGATTGACGACAGAAGCCTGTGGTTGTATATAACACATTTAATGGGTCTAACTACACCACGATGGTAACACACAGAGAGGGGACGGGAGGAAGTACACAAGGGACATCACTCAAGATAACAATATTATAAATATAACTAATACAGAAGAGTGAGTTCCCTTGACCTCACAATTATTTCAATCTATTACAGTAGGGACATCATTTTTAGAGAATTACATTTGTACGTCATCTTAAAGTCCGAACGGTAACTATACAGTCACCCAGAATTTGGTGTTGGTGTATAAAAACGAAAACCAATGTTCAGTTATTTAACTTTGTTCTGGTTATTTAAATTTGAAATAATGAAAGCCCATTGAGAATGATGAAGTGCATCGTATGACGTATGATATCTGAAGATCAATTTCAGGTTGACGTGCTGTACCAGGGGATCTCAAACACCAACTACAGGATCAAAGTTCAACTCATTAAGATTATTGCGGCCGAGGTAAAAAAAAATTCGTAAATCTTCAAAAATAAAATTGTTCTTCTAAACTGGGTGCACTCTGTTGATAGTGAGGATGAAGAGGAGATACGTATTACGATGTGTGACAAATTGGAGGGAGGGTGGGGGGGGGGGGGAGGGGGTAACTAACAGTTAACATGTTGTACGCTATTTCCTTATTTATTGGTTAGAGGTTTGAGGTTTAGAGCTTTAGAGGTTTAGATGTCTAGAGGTTTGAGGTTTAGAGATTTAGAGGTTTAGATGTCTAGAGGTTTGAGGTTTAGAGATTTAGAGGTTTAGATGTCTAGAGGTTTGAGGTTTAGAGATTTAGAGGTTTAGATGTCTAGAGGTTTGAGGTTTAGAGATTTAGAGGTTTAGATGTCTAGAGGTTTGAGGTTTAGAGATTTAGAGGTTTAGATGTCCAGAGGTTTGAGGTTTAGAGATTTAGAGGTTTAGATGTCTAGAGGTTTGAGGTTTAGAGATTTAGAGGTTTAGATGTCTAGAGGTTTGAGGTTTAGAGCTTTAGAGGTTTAGATGTCTAGAGGTTTGAGGTTTAGAGCTTTAGAGGTTTAGATGTCTAGAGAAATAAGTTGTCTAGAGGTTTAGAGATTTACCCAAATAAAAAAATAATAATTCGGGTGGGGCACAGGTTTGATGTGGTCGGAAAAGTGGTGGGTTGGTCATATAGGGGGTTGTCATATTGAGGGTTGTCATATTGAGGGTGGTCATATTAGAGTGGTCATATTGGGGTGGTCACATTGGGGGTGGTCATATTAAGGGGAGTCATATATGGATTTATGGACGACCCCGCATCTTAAATTCCAACCCAGTCCGTTTGATGCAACTAATTTTATCTTTAACTGTTCAGTTTTTATGTCACAACAGTATTGTTTGTTTAATATAATTTTAAATGCTCTGCAACATGCTCAGACTTCCGCGGCCTCTCCATTTACACGAAGCGCATATTATAACATGGTGGACGCATACACGGCTTTAAATGAATTGAGCACCTACGTGTATGGCTCGGGCTCTGCCTTAGTTTCACCTTACGACCATGTCATGCTTTTCATTGGGTAAGTTTTGTTAAACTTTATTTTTTCCCGTTCATGAAACACGGAGCAGATGAAGTAGAGTTTATCTGTTTCAATAACCTCGCCATAAACGGGATAGTGTGGTCATCAGAATGTCCAGCAGCATTTGTTTCCGATCAAAACTCGGCGAACTCAGGAATGTCCAACATACTTGAACCGAGGATCCCAAATGTCAAATCATGTTGTCTACGGTAAATAAGTAGGCCCTAATTTACTTTAGTAAAACATATAATACATAGGCTGTATATAATCCCTTAGACTTACATACGAATTTATTAACAAAGATAAAAAACAAGGTTATTTGCTTTAGTCTGTTTACAATTTGTTTTTATCAAATTTGTGACAATGTAGAATGTTTAGTTGAAGGATTTAGCAAATCGGATAAAGTTGTATAACATCATTTATAAATGACTAGATTTCCCTCTCTTGTAGTTTTAGGTTCAGAAAATTCAAGTAACTACTTATGTCTGCAGGCCAATATCTATACCCAATCTTTTTATCAGACACTAGCGTACCGTCCCCGCGCGTTGCCGCGGGAATAGAAGAAAGTCCGACGAAATATATAAGAAGGGTTTCATCCATGCGTTACCAATCCTATATTCTTAGACTAGTGATTCTTGTTTTCTAAAAGTGAGTTATTTAAATGTAAACAATGCCTGCGCTTGGATAATAAATATCGGGACACGGGTTTACTTACACTACCCCATGAAAACCTTGAGTGTACATTAATCACTCACCGAAATAATATGGTGGAACACACTTCGGTGACCGCCCATGTGTCAGAGACGTAGAGGGGCGCTCTAGGCGCATAGGTGCGGCGTACCACCCCTGGCTCCTTAAAACTAACAGGCACCATCGTGCCAAATAGCATCCTGTTAACAATGATGCAGATTGCGTCATTAGCTAAAGTGACACAAATGAACAGGATTTGTTATTTAACACGTAAAAACATTATTTGTTGTGTTTTAAACATCAGTGTGACTGGTGCAATATGTAAGCGTTACTAATGGTCTATTCTTATACGCTCGATCTCAAATTTCAGATTGGATTATCTAAAAATAGATGCTAATTGCATCATTCGCAAAGTGAAGAAACTGTTTGGATTTTTTTACAGACAAAAAGAAACATCCCAGTTAATAAGCTAACCTTGGTTAATTTTTCTGATTATTAAAATAAAACGTATTGCATGGCCCTCAGCGGCCCATGTGCGCCTTTGGGGGCCGAAACAGATTTTTATTCGCAGTCTAATCGCACCCCATCAGGGCGCCAGAGAACACGCCTGATTCAATTTAGTAAGCGTTTGTAACGCCCCATCCTATCCATTGTCTACCACACTGTTTAAACCGAACGTATTCACCGTAGCGCTCACGGCAAAGACCAGGGGGTCATATCGCATTCTGCCGGCGGGGGGGGGGGGGGAGAGGGGGGGCATGCAAAATTAAATCCCCCCTTCCCCACCACCTACCCACCCCTATTCCACCCTCCCATCCCAGAAACATTCTCCGGAGTATACATCTACTCCCTAAAGTTTTATGGCACCGGGATAATCTGTGTCGAATCGCAATCGTCTTTTACTTTTTGTATAACGTATATAGAGAAAAATCACACCATTCCGTGGCGCCGCCCTTGCCAAATAAAAAAAATAGATTTTTTACAGAAACCTTCCATGGAGTGTTCTAATCAACTCCCCAAATTTTGATGGCGATCGGAATAACGCCGTGAAACCGCAATCGACGTTTATTTGTATATTCCGTATATAGAAAAAATTGCACCCTTCAGTGGCGTCGCCTTTGCGAAAATAAAAATGTATTTTAAAGAACCCTTCCCTGGAGTGTTCTTATCAACTTTCCAAAGTTTGATGGCGATCGGGTGAACGCTGTGCAAACGCTATCGTCGTTTATTTTTATATACCGTATATTGTATATATATATATTTATATATATATATATATATATATATATATATATATATATATATATATATATATATATATATATATATATATATATATATATATATTGTATTCGCCACCCCTGCGAATTTGTAAATATATTTTGAGCATAAACTTCCCCAGGAATATTCTCAACATATTCCCAAAGTATCATGGCGACCGTGGGAACGGTGTCACTGCAATTCACTTTTATTATTTTTATATACCGTATATAGAGGAATATCGCACCCTCCCGTGGCGCCGCCCTTGCGAAATTAAAAATGATTATTTCTTTACAGAACCCTTCCCTAGAGTGTTCTAATTAGCTCCCCAAAGTCTCATAACTATCGGATGAACGATGTCAAAACAAAATCGACTTGTTTTTTTAATTACCGTATTTACAGAAAAAACAAATTGCGCCCCGCCAGGGCGCCACCCCTACGAATTTTATTTTTTTTTCCGCAGAAACCTCCCCATGAATATTCATAATAACTTCTTAAAGTTTCACGGCGATGTGATGAGAGTTGTAGTAATGCATAAAAGACACACACACACACACACACACACACAAACATACATTGCTTTATATATATATAGATAGATTGATAGATATAAAAAGCGATGTATGTGTAAAAACATAGTTAAGTCAAGGTGCAAGCATCATTTATCTTTATAAATAAAGTTTTATTGGACCTTGCCTTAACTATGTTTTACAAGCATTTATTTAACTCACTTCCTAGTCAGTCTGCCGTTAGTCTGTCTCTCTGTCTAGATCAAACGCCGGAGCAAAATTGCATGCACTTCTACTTGACAGATACGGTTCGTAGTTGGTACATGTGTCAAGACTTGAAGACAAATTCATTATGACATTTTATTTGACTTAATTGATCGCCTGATTAATTTTTTAATGAATTAATTAAAAATGGACCAAATTAGTAGGCAGTTCTATCCAACTACTCCACACGCGTCATCACGTTCAATAACGCGTCATTACGTTCAATAGGTGCGCAATGGTTTTTAGTCATTTAACTCTATTGTAAATAAAATATGTGAAGTACTGAAAAAATAAATTCATTAAAAAAAAAACGTTTTAATAACAAGCTTTTATGTAATCTAAAATATAAAGTTCAATTGTGTATTTTTGTAAAATGTTTGTCGTGGATTACAAAGGGATATAAGAAAAAACGAAAAAAAAAACGATACTTCAATGGATTCAAGTGTTAGATTATTAAAGTGCTCATGGTCTAAATTTATGAGTTAAAAAATTAATATTGAAAGTCTTTAAAAACAATTTTCATTTTATATACTTAGAAAAATAATTTTCAATTAGGAATATTACATACAATTTTTAAAAAAAGGTGTATCAACGTTTATAAAATTTCTAAAATTGTGTCTGAAATGTATTTGCATTTTGTCCTTTAGCTCTCAGTACGTCCCTTGATTTAAAAAAACACAGTTACTTCCTTTAAAAAACCATTAAATCGGGGGGAGAAAGAGTTTACTTTTTATTACTTTTTTGTGTGTGCAAAAGACTATGAATAAGTTGGGGTACTATAGTCGTTTATTAAGCTGAAACAGGCGATTCCGCCGGCGCCCCAGCATGGTGCGATTTGGCACCCCGGGCTAGACTGTGAGCACTTTGCGTTTATGTTCGCCTTAGTGTTTTCTTTGTGTTTAGGTTGAGTTTGCGTTAGTGGTTGCGTTTGCGTTTTTATTTGGTTCGTTTTTGTTCTTTCTTTTTCGTTTTCGGTTGTGTTTTTTTTCTTTGGGTTTGTGTTTGTATTTGTGTTTGTGGTTGGTTTTGTGTTTTCGTTTGTGTTTGTAATTGTGGTTGGGTTTGGATTTGTGTTTGTGTTATCGTTTTTATTTTTGTTTGCGTTTATGTTATGTTTGCTTTTTTGTGTTTTGGTTTTGGTTGATTGTGGTTAGGGTAGGCAATGTCGGTTATATGCTGATTACGAAACACACATGCCATGGTCATTTACAGATAGGTTTTTAACAGAGGCCAGTGCAGGGCCTGGCCGGGACGGCAAGTAATGCACTAAAAAGAAGAAAATAAATTATACACTACTATTTAAATAACTATTTTAAAAAAGCGTTGGTCTATTCCTAAACATTAGTAAAGGTATCCAATATGTACTAAAGTGACCCACGCTCAGGTAGTTTTATTATTGTTGCAGTTACGACCTCACAGCTGGGCTGTCAACTTCAATAGTTGGTAGGTACACATTTTTTTTTAATTCTTTCAATATTCCCTCCATATGTTTCGTTTTAGCTTTTGGTAACTGGTATATTTTAAATATTGATTTATTTAACCGTGTCGTTAGTTTTAAGGGTTACTTATGTTATGAATGGTATCTTAGTGTATTGCAATGGTATGAGAGTATGTGTGTTGTGGAATGATTTATATTAATACAACTTTGTAACTGTGTGACAAGTTACGTAAGGATGTGACGATTGAGAGTAGGATTTTGGGGGAAATAGGTTAGGATAGTCTTCGTTATGTTGTGCTAGGATGTGAAGATATTCGTCTGTCCTCGTGAATTGTTTTCAATCCTAGTGCAATAAACCATCAATTAAAGCTACGCGATGCTGTAAAATCACGTGTCTCAGATCGTTATCATTGGTGAATGTATGTTATCACTTGAATTAAACACTTTTTCTATGGTATATAACAACAATATTTTTCACGTTTAAATTGAATCCAAGTTTATATATCCAATTCTTCCTTATTATGTGCTTTTTATTACTTTCTCCTATATACGAAGTATAGAAAAAGTCTTGTAATCGTGCAAATTTTTTTTTTTTTTTTAGATTTTTACAAATCTGCACGTTTTACACCTCACTGATACGGAAAAACATAATTTTGCAATCTTGTCCGTATGTCTGTGTGTCTGTCTGTGTGTCTGTGTGTCTGTGTAAACACGATAACTGGAGTACCGTTACCAGAGCCGGCGTTAGGAATACGCGGGGCCTAGGGCCAACCATCCGCGCGGGGCCTTTCCATTATATATATATATATATATATATATATATATATATATATATATATATATATATATATATATATATATATATATATATATATATATATATATGTATGTATAAAGGCCTATATAATGTGATGTACACATAATAACACAAATGTTTTGGAGTTTATAAGCTAATGTCAAACTTTCCACTATAATAACAGATTTTTATCTCTCCCATGTATTAACCAAATGTTCTTAGTTTTTTTTTTCCTTTGCTAAGATATTAAATCACTTTTAACAGTTATGTAATTCATACCAAATCACTTAAGAAAATTTAATCACGTGCCGAATAATTAGGAAAATAAAGTTTACAATACAGCGAACTCGGCCTGATGTATCAAAACAGTATAGACTTCAAAAAATTTGTTTAGAATTCATACAATATTTTAAAACCAAAATCATTATTGTCTTAATTATTGAACGGGTGAATCCTTAAGGTGACACAACATAACAACACTTTTAACTTTCTTCCAAAAAATAATAATAAATCACTCTTTTTAATGCCGCCTGATATAGATCCTAAGCCCCCCACCCCTTCTCGTCGCCCTCCTCCCACCCCTCTGCACGTAACTGAATGTTAATTTTGTTATACCAAGAAAAGTAGGCCTACATATAGAGTTTCTTCCAGGCATCTCTTCGGGGGAGGGGGGGTGGGGGTGCAAGCCCCCTCCCCCGAAAACGAAAGGAAATTTATATAATTTATAGAGAAAATATATACTTTTAACAGTGTCCGCCCCCCCCCCCCCCGAAGAAAGTCTACCGCCCCCCCCCCCCCGAAAATTTCAAGTGCCCCTCCCCCCCCCCCCGGAGAAAAAAGTCTGGAAGAAACACTGCACATATACGACATTATACGACATCTACAACAAGAAGACTAGAGTTCATCGGGTCACTAACTGTCTACTATAGACATCCCGTCTGCTCACTAAAACGAAGTCTTCATCGGTCCGCATACAATAGGGTATCTCTTTACGTCGTGGGCTAATTCTCGACCGCCATCTCCAGTCAGCTCAGGTCAAATGCCAGGCGACCGTACCCTACACAAAGGGAGGTGTGACACTATTTTTGTATCGAATTACGGCCTGTCCCAGTTCAGGTGAGACTCACCAACATAAACCGTGGCCTCAGTTATAACAATCAACAACGTCGGCATTCGACCATTTAGTTTTTCCCAATTGAATTCAGCAACAATTTTTTTTTTAAGTTTACGTCCTAATTAAGATAACAATTGCATTGCTGAAGCGCGGGGCCCCTTCAAGCGCGGGGCCTATGGCGACCGCCCTATGGCGACCGCCCCGTTCGCCACCCCCTAACGCCGGCTCTGACCGTTACAGCTAGGTTGATGAAATTTCATATATAGGTATTTTATCAAAATCGTAGATCCGTATAAACTTTTGAGCGATTTCCGATAACCGGAAGTGGTACTTTTTCTATTTTAAATTTTCAAAAGCCTATAACTTCAGTATTATTTCAGATAGATAAATGAAATTTCACATGTAAGTAAAAGATCTAACTATCTACCTTCTGTCAAATTGTTAGTAATTTCCGTTGAGCGGAAGTACTAATTTACGCTATTTCCGATTTCTAAGCCCCCCCCCCTAACTCAAAAGAAATGTCGTCATCGATATTCTATAATAAAATTACCGCCTAATTAATGTGTCTATGCTAAAAAGTGGTTTGCGTGCAGAGTTTCTTTTATGCAATTTTTAGGGTGGGGCTTCGCGTTTTGCGTGTAGAGTTAATTTCATGTAATTCTTCCAGTAGTGGCTAGGCGCAACACCAGTGTTTCTTTCAGACTTTTTCCTCTCCTGAGCGGGGAACTTGAAATTTTCTAATCTAAAAAGTGTTTAGCTTGCAGTTTCTTTCATGCAGCTCTTCCAGGCTCAACAAATGCGACCAGTGTTTCTTTCAGACATTTTCCTCCCCCTAGAGGGGTTGGGTACTTGAAATTTTCGGGGGCGGGGGTGGAATTTTCTGGGAGGGGAAAAAGTATATAATTTTAGTTCGTTGAATGGGACGGTAGACATGTTTTGTGGTGTGTGTGTGGGGGGGGGGGGATACTTCCAAGTAGAGTTGCCTGAAAAAACTCTAAATGCGATTTTTTTCATGATTTAGATAAGGTGCATGGTTTAGAGCAGGGGTCTCCAAACTTTTCAGTCCGAGGGCCGCATTAACTATCAAATTTCAGTTCGGGGGCCAGTTTCTTCCAGGCATGTCTTTGATTTTTTTGAGCAAAGTTCCTCAGCCATCACCAGCAAACGATTTTTTCCTTGGACAAAAAGATCTCCGCGGGCCGTAGTTAGGAGACCCCTGGTTTAGAGGTATGGCTACGACTATATTTAGTATAAATGCGCGATAACTACGCGTAGATCATGCTTAAATCCGATTAAAATGCCGATTCTGGATAAAAATCCGTTTTCAATGACATTTTTTGTTTCTGTTTAAATTTGAAGTATAGGTGGTGATTTTGGTTTTGGTTTTTGTTTAGAAAAAATAGACATCACTATCAACCCAGCGCCCGTTGTATCCTTTCTCAACGGGCCATTTTTCTCGTATTACAATATTCGAGAAAGTTTAGGGGAGATCACTCCTGGTTTATTTAAAAAATGTGATAGTTTATAAAATGTCTACAAATGGGCGCGAGCGAGAAAAGTCTCAAATGTATTCGAGAGGCCCATAAAATATTTTTAAAATCGGGCACGGCGGAGTTAAAAATAATATGGCTATAAAATCCTGTTTTTTTTTTTTTGGACTTTACTAAAGATTGGATTATTTGAATGTTTTAATATTTTCGTTAACTAAGTAAAATTAAAAAAAAAAAAGCAAAAAAGATTTGGTTTTCACGTATAATGGATACATAAACTATGGCATCCTATTATTCGATAGGCTGCCATAAATTTTAGTGTACACATTGTAAGCTAAAAAAAAAAGAAAAACTAGGTCATGGTGTTTAAATTTGCATTGTTATTTGAAAACTTTATCTGCAAAGTTTTGTAAACAAATAGTTATCAATCACTGTGTAACTGTACAGCCAATCAATATTTATCTTACGGAAGTGAAACACCCGGTTATAACTTAGGCTTGATGAAAATAAATAGAAATGTAGCCTTAAACAACAAATTATTTTCAAGTTCTCTGGATTTGCAACTTTTATAGCATTTATTTTAAAAATATAAAATTTCTAAATTAAGTTTAGGCTTAAGTGTTTTTTAATTTTTTTATTATTTTTACGGTCTAAAGTCTAAATCTAAAAAAGCAAGTTTTTATTCCATGTTAACAACATTATGGAAGGATTCTAGTCAACTCGCTCGCGTCCATTCTAAAGCTCTGTTTATTTGATAATCAGTTTCCGCCTCTCGATTTAAAGTAGGTCCCTTTCGTGTGTCGACCGATGAGGCGTTTACTATTTGGAATAAGATTAAATAAAAATATTAAATATGATAAAATAAAATAAAAGTAATACATTGTTCTTAGTTTATTACAAAATGATTATTGAATGGTGTACTAATGTAAATATTATAGATAACTGGATGTTATACCAAGGTAATACAAACATGATCTTTGAATGTTGTACTAATGTAAATAAAATTGATATTCATTATTAAATGTTGTACTAATGTAAAAAAAGATAACTAAATGTACTAATGTAAATAAAATTGATAATTGAGTGATGTACTAATGTAAATAAAATTGATGATTGAATGTTGTACTAATGTGATACAAAATCTATCAGTGAATGTTGTACTAATGTAGATAAAATGGATAATTGTATTTTATACTAATGTAATGCAAAAACAATCAATGAATTCTGTATTAATGTAAATGAAATACATATATTGATGTTATAGGCTACTAATGTAATACAAAAACAATTAATGATTGTTGTACAAATGTTATACATTTTTGCTGGAGACTACAACTATTATAAAATGTAAAGCTTTGGTTAACTTTTTGTGAAAGGACACATTGAAAATGTGTCAATGTAATTACAAAATTGGCAAAAATCAAAACAAAAAAATTTAAGAGCTTTTTAATACTTTACAGTATTGCTGATATATTACGATTCGATGTTCTGTTACACTAACATTGTGTTTTAAAATGTTAAGGACTGGCCTATATTGGGACGCTGTGTTCGCTAAATGGAAGCAGTACATCGGTCATTGAAGACTTGGTCACTTACCAGGCAGTGGACATAGCGGCTCACGAACTAGGACACAGGTCAGATTTTGTATTAAGTAGACTAAGATGTAACAGTAGAGTAATTTGTTCTCAAGTACTATAAACTTGCATGTTAATGTAATGTAATGCTATGGTAATGTATTTATCTAAATAACGATGTTAAAGATCGACGACATGTTTATGAACTCGACATTGTTATAAATGAGTTTACAAATAAATAAATAAATCTATCAGACTAACAGTAGGATTTATAATTGTTTTTTGTAAGCAAACCTTTACAATTATTATATTCATTAAACCCTTTAAAATTGGCTTATGTAAGCATTCATTTACAGTCGGCCTATATATTCAACCTTTTACAATCAGCCTATATATTCAACCCTTTACAACCGCAGTATGTTTACAAACCTTTCCAATCGGCCTAGTTATATAACCCTTTACAATCAACCTATATATTCAACCGTTTACAATTAACCTATATATTCAACCGTTTACAATCAGCCTATATATTCAACCCTTTACAATCAGCTTATGTATAAAACTTTTTACAATCGGCCGATGTATAAAACCTTTTACCATCAGCCTATGTATAAAACCCTTTACAATCGGTCTATGTATACAACCCTTTACAATCGGCCTATGTATAAAACCCTTTACAATCAGCCTATGTATAAAAACCCTTTACAATCAGCCTATGTATAACACCTTTTACAATCGGCCTATGTATTAAACAATTTCCAGTTTATCTGCCAAACATGACGGAGATATGAATGTGTGTTCATTTACTGAGCGGTATATCATGGCGTCCTCCAACTCAGAGGAGACCCCAGACACAAAGACACACCCCTGGATGTTCTCCCATTGCAGTGTAGAATACTTCACGTCCTTCATCGAGAAAACTTTGGACACCGCGTACGTATATTAGGGTTAGGGTTAGAATACGTCACGTCATTCATCGAGAAATCTTTGGACATGACGTACCAGTGGCGGAACTAGAAAAAAAGTGCCACCCCGCAAATAAATTTTTTCGGCCCAATACTTTTATTTTCCAATTTAAAACAAATACAGTAACACTCCGTGCCATTTGGGTGGATATTTACAAGATAGTTACATTGGTGTACAGAGTATAGTAAATAAATAGCGAAATATGTAAATGAATACAAAAGATACATTGAATTTAAAGCTTGTTGGTTCAAAAATTGAAAAGAGGCTCGTTTGTAACATGTTTGTCAACAAAAGTGGTGGAAGAGTATAACGTATGGAAGAATAGTCGAAAACAAAGCAAGCTTGCATGGATTTCATCCCATTCTGTATAATAAACATAGTAAATACCAGAGAAAAATGAATAACCAGTAGAGTAGTCACACACACACGCACACACTTTTGTTGTTTTAAACAGATTTCGTTTACACTTGTACAATAGTGAATTACAAAAATAGATAAATAAGTAAATGGGTAAATATTCGAAACTGATGATTTGGGGTGTGGTGGAGTCGTTGGAACAGTTAAAGGGATGTGGGGTTATCATATCTGAGGGTGATGTGGGCAGAGGGGGGGGGGGGTGGCGGTAGAGTGTCTGACGAGCCATGGAGAGAGTGTCTGTGTGTGTTTAAGGCAAGTCAAGTGTCAAAATCTGTGCTGTGTGATCTAACTGCTGATGTGTTACTATTTATAGTGTGTGTATGTTGGGGGGGGGGGGGTGGAGTTGACGAACAAATGAGCGATTTAGCGGGAGAGTGAAAGTTTGGTATGTTCAAGTCGGTGTTTATGATTGTTTGGATGTTTAGTACCGACAGGTTAGGGGTGGGTAGGCGTGTAGCTATCACGTGGTGTGGGGATACAGTGGAGTTTTAAAGGTCGAAAATTGGTTAACAATGTTCTCATAAAAGAGTTATTTAAGTTAACAAAACAACTGTAACTAATAATGTGGGGGTAATAAAAATGAATACAAAAGGAGTAGGGGTCATTGGGGTCATTTTGTACGTTGTGGACCAAAGTACCGTACGTAAATGATAATAGTAAAATAGAGACAAATGTTGATTTTACAATATTTGTTTGTAAGCTTTATAAATAAAACAATACACAAATAAGCAAATTTTAGGAAACTGAAGGACAAATGATAAATGATGCGAAACAATGTGGTGACATGGGGGTTGTGGGGGTGGGAGTCAAATTAATGTTGTTAGAAATGTATTTAGATAATACGTCATCTTCAGTATTTAACATAGTATTTCAACACAGGGGTGGGGTCGTGGGGACGAAGGGGATGAAATAATGGGGGCAAAATGGTATTGGGGTCATGAGGTTTAGGGGCAGGGGCGGGGAGGGTGTGTTGAAGGGGGATGTGTCGGTTAGATTAGGCGGGCCAGGTGGCAAATGCAGTGTAATATGTTCTTTACGTTGTAGTGTTGCTAATTATGGTATATGTGTTTGAGTGCTGTCGTTGTCGAGTCGTCTACGACAAATCAAGTCTAGTACGTGTCCCGTGAACTGTGTCTTGTGGTGTTTTGCTTTTATTCTACTGTTCCAAATATAGCTACCGTCCTTGCTTTTTGCTCTAAGTTCGTCCTGTCTCTTTGTTTTGGGATTTTGTTTAGAGTTATAACTATATCGATATTGAAGGTCTCGTTTTTTGTTATTTTGGTTTCTAGCGTCTTTTTCATGTTTTGTATGGTGGGGCATTCTAAATAGATGTGCGTTTCGGTTTCGGGTGTGTTTTGTCTGCATAGTGGGCAAAAGGGTTTCTGTTGTTTTGCTAGGGGTGTTGACTTGTAGATGAGTCTGTATGTTATTTCCCTAGCTTTGGGTGTGATGGTTTTGAGGTGTAGGTTCCTGAAGGTGTCTATTGTGTCTGTTAAAGCGTATTTCCTACACCATTGAATTCTGTTGTATAGAGTGTTGAGAGTTTTTGCATTAACTTTTTGTAAATGTTTTTTTGATTTTTTCGTGAACAAGTTTTTCGTTGTTTTTACTTTCTCGTATATACGAAGTATAGAGAAAGTCTTGTAATCGTTTTACACCTCACTGATACGGAAAAACATAATTTTGCAATCTTGTCCGTATGTCTGTGTGTGTGTCTGTCTGTCTGTCTGTCTGTGTGTAAACACGATTACTTGAGTACCGTTACAGCTAGGTTGATGAAATTTCATATATAGGTATTTTATCAAAATCGTAGATCCGTATCAACTTTTGAGCGATTTCCGACAACCGGAAGTGGTACTTTTTTTTACTTTGAATTTTCCAAAAGCCTATAACTTGAGTACTATTTCAGATAGATAAATGAAATTTCAAATGTAAGTAAAAGATCTAATTCTCTACCTTCTATCAAATTTTGAGTAATTTCCGTTGACCGGAAGTACTAATTTACCCTATTTCCGATTTCTCAAAAAATGCATGTAAATTTATAAAGAACTAATAATATTGCGCACTATTATGCGCTTTTTGCTTTGGCGTTCACTTGGTGCGCAATTCTATTTTCTACTAGATTTTATTCTTTTTTTAAAAGTTTAAGTAAACAAAAATCATGTCTATATTCCGAGTTGCCATCCCACGTAGTGTTATATTAGAATATTCGAGAAAGTTTAGGGGAGATCACTCCCGGTTTATTTAATATTTGAAAGCATTCTGTGTAAAAGGGACTATGTTTTCCTCCTATGTAATGTGGAGTTGTATTATTGATTTTTGTAAGTTTGTTGAGCTGAATGTCTAAATAGTAGTGAGCTAGAGGGTGAAACTTTGGTTGGCTAATTATTCTGCTAATGTGTGTTAGTCTAAATGTATTGATTTTGGTCTGTATATCGTGCAGGTTTATTCCTCCATGAAGTTTGTTTTGTACCAACGTGTTGTGGCTAATGTTTGTAATTGTGGTATGGAATATGTACTCTCTAATGATTTTATTCAGATGTTTAATTGTTGGCTTTGGGATTGTTTTAGCCGTGGCTATATAGGTGATTTTTGGGATGACGTACCTATTAATTATAGATGACCTAGCAAAAATTGTTGTTGAGCTAAATTTATAAAGTGCTGTGGTGTTTTGGATTTTGCTTGAGACTTGTTTCCATTCAACATCGTTATTGGTGTGTGGGTTGCTATAGTGGGTTATGCCGTAAAGTTTTAATTTGTTGGTACCTAGCATGTTTAGTGGGTAATTTGGTTTGTTGATCCAACGTCCAATTCCCGTGATTTTGGTTTTCATTAGGTTAATTTTTGACCCGCTACCCAGCCCAAAGTCAAGGAAAGTGTCTATTATTAGAATGATAGATTTTTCGGTTTGGAGGGTAAATGCTGTATCATCAGCGTACGCTAGAATTTTTTGTTTAATTGATTTTGAATGTCAATTCCTCTGATGTCTCTAGTGTTTCTAGTGCATTCTAACAGGGGTTCGAGTGTTAGTATATGTGAGCGGGTGAATGGATTTTTTTGTATTATTTTATTTGTTGCGAATCTGGGAGTGCATGGTGGTCCAATGGGGAACGGCACGGAGTCCCCTTCCGTCCGAAGCGGTCAGTATAAATTGACCGCTCGGAGTGATTTTCTTCCTTTTTTTGACCCGCGGCGAGATGTAGGTCGGGTCAGGTTTCCGCGTGGCGCACCGCACGCGTGGAGTGAGGTTGCTTGGGCAACTTGGCTGGGTGTTTTGTTATATATGAATTGTTTTGTTTGGTGTAAAAAGTTTGTTGTGTACGTATTGTGTTCTACGTAATGTATTGTACGTAACGTATTGTACGTAGTGGTTTTACGTAGTGTTTTGTTTGGTGTGGACTTTTGGATGTCGAGAATGGATGAAGGGAGGTTTCTGTGTGTCAGGGCCTGGACCATCCTAGACATCATAAGTCGGCGCAACACCAGCAAATGGTCAAACGTAATGTTTTGTTTGATGTAAAAAGTTTGTTTCGTTTGGTTCTGTTCTGTGTCAGTTTTATCTATTCTTTTTTTATAACTTTTGGTTCCATATTTTGTTGAATAAATCTATATTAGTCATTCTTGGTAAATAAATTTTATTAACTGTAAAAGTTTTTGTTTTATTTTAGTAGCTTATTATTTAGACTAAGGTTAGGGTTTGACCACTGTGGGTTCTACCACGGTTGCACTGACCGGACAGTAGTTAGATAAGCCTAGAAGGGTAGATTTTAAGGTATCCCCCCCTAGCAGGGCTTACAAATTGGTAGCACGAGTGGGGTGTGAGGTGTGGGGAAGTCGGTTTCCGGCTTGTTCAACTCTGCCTTTTGTGTGGAAAACCGGGTGAAGAGAGCAGGCAGTCTCTCTGGTCATCCAGTGAAAAGAATAGCAAATTCGCACCATCCAGTCGTATTTATTTTGTGTTTGTGTTCGTCTTAGTCCTGGTAAGTTAGAAATAAGTTTATTTCTTTGCTATGTCTATTTTTTGCTATGCTGTTTATTTTGGGTTACTGGCCATAAGTTTTTTTGTGGTTGTCTTCTGACCGCCATTGTGGTCAGGCCATGTGGACTCAGATTCTGAGTTTTTATTATGTTATAGCCATTTTATTACTTTGTTGTATCTCTTGGGCTTGTGTGAAGCCAAGGATACTGCTTATTTATACTTGGCCCACAGTTATGGTTTACTCCTGGCTGTTGGGTTAAGTGGTATACGTATTCTATTGATTGTATCCCTTGGGCTGGTGTTAAGCCAGGGATAGAGGTAATTTTAGACTTGACCCGCAGCTATGGTTTACTCCTGGCTGTCGGGTTAAGTAATACGCACATTTTATTGATTGTGTCCCTTGGGCTGGTGTTAAGCCAGGGATAAAGGTATTTTTAGACTTGACCCGCAGCTATGGTTTACTCCTGGCTGTTGGGTTAAGTAGTAGAGTTGTTACCTGACCCACAGTCACGGTTCGTTCCGGACTGTCGGGTTTGGTTATAATATTGTTATCTTTATAGTGACCTTTCGCTTCCTGTGGTGATCATGTTGATCCCCAGGAGAGTGTTCGGTTCGTTCTAGTCACTGTGAAGGTACACTTGTTCTTAATAGATTTTATTTTACTTAGCCTTTTGTTAGGCTGGTAACTTGAGCTCAGTGTCCTGGTAGTGTTCCAGTTAATTGTAAAAGTATATTCTGTGTGAACTACCTGCAGGCGGTGGAGATGTAATCCAGCCAGCCTGTGGTTAATGCTTTGTTTATAACTTGTCTTTGTAAAGTAATTAATTTATTTGTTTTCCTTTTTCTAGGACGAAGTCCGAAATTGGGTGTTTTGTTTGATGTAAAAAGTTTGTTTCGTTTGGTTCTGTTTTGTGTCAGTTTTATCTATTCTTTTTTTAACTTTTGGTTCCATATTTTGTTGAATAAATCTATATTAGTCATTCTTGATAAATAAATTTTATTAACTGTAAAAGTTTTTGTTTTATTTTAGTAGCTTATTATTTAGACTAAGGTTAGGGTTTAACCACTGTGGGTTCTACCACGGTTGCACTGACCGGACAGATTAGTTAGTTAAGCCTAGAAGGGTAGATTTTAGGTATCCCCCCCTAGCAGGGCTTACATATATAAAGGATTGGAGATAGGGGGCAACCTTGTCAGACTGATTTATTTATTCTAAAGGGTTGGGAAATATTATGGTTTATCAGTAGGTGACTATGTGCATTAAAATAGATTATTTTTATCCATGTCGTAAAGTATTGTCCTAAATTGTTTGCCTCTAAGATTTTGTGAAGGTATTTGTAAGCTACCCGGTCGAAAGATTTTTCTTGATCTAAATTGAGTATGCATGCTTGAGTGTTTTTCTCGTGCGTGTAGTGGATGATGTCTCTAATTTAGTAATTGTGATTTTGTATGTTTCTACCTGTGATGTTGCATTGTTGATCTACATTAAATTTATAATTTTATGCAAGTGTGGTTCAATTTTAGAGACTAGAGCTTTGGTTAGGATTTTGTAATCAGTGTTATAGAGAGAGATAGGTCTATAGTTTTGGGTTAGTTTAGGATCGGTTTTGGGTTTGTGTGTTAATTTTATGTATGATCTGTTGAAATTTTCGTGGCATTGTTCTAGCAGAAACATTTCTCTATAGGTAGTTAAAAAAAGGGGAGTTAGGTCGGCTGAAAAAGCTTTTAAAAATTCGCTTGTCAAGCCGTCCGGTCCTGGTGATTTGTTTGAATTTAATTTGAGTATGGCTTTGGTTATGTCACTGACTGAGATGGGGTGTCAATATTAATGTTGTCGATGTCATGTCAGGGTTTAATAAACTTAAGGTATTTGTCTTGTATGTCTGTGTTTGTCTCTTCGAACTTGTATCGTTGCGTATAATAGTCTATAATTTTTTTCAGGGTCAGTCGTCTCTAGGTTATTGTTATCTATGAGATGTGTGATTTGTTTTGCCCTCTGAAAGCTTTGTTCTAAAATTAAGGTGTGGTGTGTGGGATTTTCCGAGCCTATTTGTTCGATTCTACTTCTAATTTGCGCTCCTCTATATTTGTGCTCTTGTATTTTAGAAAGTTCTGTTTCTGTTGAGTCTATTTGTTCTTTGTTGTTGATTCATTGAAGTATACTTAGTTGTTTTTCTAGTTTAGTTTCTATGTGGGCCCTTACGCTATTAATGCTACTGCACATTGAATAGATACCCGCTTAATGTCAAGTTTTAAATCTTCCCAATGTTGGATTTTATTAAATTTTGGTGATGACTGCGTGTAAAATTGTATTATGTCTTTTATAGTGTTGATGTAGAGCTCGTCTAGTAATAGTGTATTATTGAATTTCACGTATGTGTTGTGTTTTGGTTTGTTTTGTATTTGTTCATTTTTTAAAGTTGTCAGAACTGCTGTATGATCGCTAAACTGTAGTGTTGAGAATAGGTGTTCTACTTTGTTGATTTTCATGTTCGATGGGGCGTAAATTCTGTCTAGACGGAACCTATTCCCAGATGTGTTACTTCCGTGGGTGGTTTGTATGGTGTGTGGATATTGCGCTCTGTATGTGTCGACTAAATTGAAATATGTTTTAATGTTGTTGATTGAGTCGGCGTGTGGTTTGTCTGCGGTTAAGCGGTTTCGAATTAAGTCTTTTGGTCATAAAATGTCTAATCTGTCTTCCACGAAATTAAAGTCCCCGACCAAAATGACGTCATTGTTGGTTGTATCTGTTAGTAATTGTTCTAGGTTTTCATAAAATTTACTGTCTTTGGGTCTATGTGGTCCGTGTACATTGGCTATGCTTAGTTTTCCCCCTTGTCCCTCGATTGTAACTATTGCTAATTTTCCTTCAGAGTCGGCGTGCGTGTCTGTTATGTTGAACTTGTTTGATGTGTTAAAAATTGTTGACCCGCTACCCGTGATAAGTGAACTGTAGCTGTGGCGTGCTTGAGTTAAAGTTGTGAGTGAATTTGTCTGCTTTGAATTTATTTTTGAAGTTAGTTTCCTGTAGTAAAATGAAATCAGGTTTATGTTTGTCGATTAATTTTCTCACGTACTTGTCTTTGTATTTTGTGCTTTGTGGGATGAGGGTTATGATTTTTTTTTGTTTTAGAACTAGTTTATTTAATATGTTTGCTTACCCTCGACTATTAAGCCGGTAAAAAGAATATAAAACGTGAAAGCTTTGTGTAATTGTTTCTCGTGTTATGTTTATTATTATGTATATTTTTTTGTATTTATATTATTTGTTTTTAATACGTTTCCATTTTATGCTAGGTCATTCTTTGGTATGTTTTTTTTAAATAATAATTAAAAGAAGTTATTGCTTTTTAATTAGTTTAGTACAAATATATCAAAAGGATCGTATGAGCACCCCTATTTAACTATTTATAAAAGGGAAATATGTCATGGAAGTATTTTTAACGTTTGCCTATCTTTCACACTACAGCTCAGGCATGTATTTTTTTAACGCAACAGCATGTGCTAGCTACTGTATCACATCTCTACTGTAGTAGATCTGTTTGTTATTTACAAAACCCTTTTCTGTCAAGTCAAGAATGCAAGAAAATCATTGTTTTAACTATAAAAATGTATTATGGTCGGCCATGGGCACCTAAATGGCGTGCCCCCCCCCCCCCCCCCGCAATGCGTGGTCTTGCGGCACTGTAGTTCCGCCCCTGTGACGTACGTATATTAGGGTTAGGGTTAGAATACTTCACGTCCTTCATCGAAAAAACGTTGGATATGGCGTAGATACAATTATTGTTTATGCCCAACTTTACGAACATTCACAGTTTAAGCTTAAATCTAACCATATGAACATTCAGAATTTGAATCGAAACGTACGTAGGCTATATTTACAGTTTTAGCATAACCCAAACCTTACATTTTGTGTAGGCCTACCAATCTGGATTATTTTAGGTCATATTTAAATGCTATTATTTACTGATATAGGTCTGATTTCGTATTATCTAAATGTGATTATATTATTGAAATAGAGTTAATTCTAGATTATTGTGTAATATAGATAGTTCCCTTTCGAACCTGAATATCCATGATGAAGTAGAGTTTATCTGTTACTGTGACTTCAGTATATGAAGGGATAGTGTTGTCGACACTATGCCCAGCCGCGTTTGCTTTCCCTAACGTGATCGAGGTACCCATCAGAGCTGGATGGGACTCAGTGATCTTCTACGGATGTGAACCTGGACTCGAACTCGGGACTTTTAGGTTAGCAATCGCATGCTCTCATATTCAACCCATTGAGATAAATCCTGACTATTGTGTTATATTCTAACTTTTCCAGCCGTGGCCGAACCTGTTTGACCACATCGCTATTGGCTGACCCAACAATTCCAGACGCCAGTGACCGTCTGCCCGGACAGGAAATGCCACCATCAGAACAATGCGCTTTAATTTATGGCTCTGGGAGCTATCACTGTAGGGTACGATTTAAAAAAAACTTATAACAATAATATAAATAATGAAAAGTTTGAGGACCACTTGAAATTTACAGTAAAATTGTCCCCATTCACTCCCCTGGCAGCACGTGAATATAAGCGACGTGTGTACACAACTCTACTGCTTCGACCCAAGCTCAGAAATCTACTGCTACGCTTCCATGCCGCTCCTAGGGACAACGTGTGCTAGCGGAAAGGTAGGTTATATAGGGCAGCTATTTTATTATTATTTAAACAGCAAATGAGAAATAAAATGTGTGTAAAACATTTTGAAATAGTTCTAGATATCTAGGTTTCTGGGAGATGCGGGCTAGAGAAGTTGTAATATGTTTTGTAGAAACGTTTAGTACAACACGATGCAGATTGTAACACGCTCATTATATAACAATAACTTTCGTCTCTTCGTCTCGTTAATACTGAGCTGAAGCAGGAACTCTATTGATTGACTCATTGTTTTTATTTGGATTTTTTTTTTATCCCTGAACGTTTCGACTGAAAATTTAAGCAGTTGAGCATCACGCGTATAAACAATCGCGCCAATGGACAATCCTGATTAACATCTAATTGCACTTTTTTAAAATAAATCCAGTTTCAACTTCCTTAAATGAAAGTTTTAATATAATTTTAAATATTTGTTTCTTCGTGAGAAAGGCAGAAAAGGAAAAATAAAATTTTAACTTTTCTTTACTGACAACACACTTGTAGGGGGAAAGGGGGGGGGGGGGGTCCGTAATTTGGTGATGGTGTGTGATGAGGGGGAGTTAAGATGGTGTGACGTCACAGTTTTGCATTATAAAAATGAGCAATGTTAGAAAACGAATTTTAGCCCATATTTTGCTTTTTAGAAAACTGTTTTAATAAATTGTAATAGGAATTGATTAAAATACTATATGTAGACAGAGTTCAGAAAAGATTTTGGGAAAATATCGTATTTAAAAAAAAATTCAACTGCAATTTCGAGGAGGGTTGTAGGCTGAAGTGTGACGTCAATTGGGGGGGGGGGGGAAGTTGGCTTTTTGCGACGAGGAGTGACGGAGGGGAGGGGAGAGGTAAAAATCGTTCAAACTCTTAATACTTAATTCTTGGATTGTCTCAATCCTTAGCTCTAACCAACTCTAACCCTAAACAAATGCCTAATACCTAGCCCTAACACCCAGCCTAACCCATAACTCCTAACTCCTTTCGCTGTCATCGGTTCTAGTCCCTTGTGCCAAGTTTGAAAAAAAATTGATCAAGTAGAAGTGGTCGAAATTTTGCTCGCCAATAGTAAAAGAAAAAGCACGAGAAAGCTTGTTAAATAAAGTCTTGGAGTAAGAGCTAGACAAACCCTAATGAAATGAAATTATATTTTTGTCTCATTTTGATGTATAAATAACAATACTTTTTATACAAATTTCCGCTAAAGTTGTGCCGAAACGGAATGTGTGTGTCTGATCCCAGAGCACCTGTGGCGGAAGGTAAGATAGCACAGAGACCTGGCAAATCAACTGTAACGCTTTAAATGGTATTGACGAGTTAAAAAAATACAACAAGCAGCCAGAGGCGTCGCGGGGAGGGGGGTGCTGACCGCACCAGGTGACACCATTTAGGGGGGGGGGGGGTGACACCAAGGCATAAAATAGCAAAATATATAGAGAAAAACTTGATGGGATGCAAATCGAAAGTTTGAGGGGGGTGCAAATCGAAAGTTTGAGGGGGTACACTTGGAAAGTTTGAGGGGGGGGGGTGCAAATCGAAAGTTTGAGGGGTGGGGGTGCAAATCGAAAATTTGAAAGTTTGTCCTCGGGAAGGTTCGCTACGCCTCTGGGGGGGGGGGGTGACACCATAAAGTGCCGCACCGGGTGACACCCGACCTCGCTACGCCACTGCATGCAGCTATTGAGAAATTGGAGTTATTAGATAAAAAATTAATAAGTATAGGTTTCAATTATTTTTTACCTAAGCTATAAAAATTCTTTAACTCTAATTTCACCAGACGATTGCTTGTTTGGGGATTCCACTGATGTCTTAATTGATCAGATGACTTGTGCGCGATATGTCGGCCAATTTAACGGCAGATGTTATGATCCTTTAATTAAAGCGTATTGTTGCTCCTCGTGCAAGAATGTGTACAGAGATGGCGCTTACAGTAAGTAAACAAATTTTTAAAATGTCTTAAAAAACGTTTTAATAACAAGCTTTTATGTACTAATGCACTAAAAAGTAGAAAATAAATTATAGACTACTATTTAAAGAACTATAAAGAAAAGCGTGGGTCACTTTGGTATCTATTGGATACCTTTACTAATGTTTAGGACGAGAAGGTCACACGTCCAAGAATATACTATAGGTAACATCCAATACTATTGGTAACATATGGATGAAACCCTTCTTATATATTTCGTCGGATTTTTTTCTATTCCCGCGGCAACGCGCGGGGACAGGTACGCTAGTTTTATATAAATCTTTGTTTGTTTAGCTATGCAATTGGCTAATTTAAGATAAAATTTAATTTGAAAGATACTAGATCTAGATCTAGGGCCTATGCGCGCAAATCGTTTCATAAGGAGACTCAAAGAATATAGCACAAAAATATGTCAGTGACGTCACGAGTTTAAATAGCTAAGTTGGTAGTGTAATAGGCTTCCATGAGGGTGGCATGGGTTCTAGACACATCAAGCCTATGTTTAATTTGTTTTCCTTTTACGTCTTTTTTAATGTGGGGTCTGGTTATTTTGTGATAATAAGTGACAGACGTGATGTCATTTATGGATGACCACTGAAATCCACAGTTATCTAACTAGATAACGGGTAGTCTAGTATATAATAAAATTTGACTTTTTCGGATGTTTAATTAATTTTTAAAAAATTTAATCAATGTTTCCTTTACAAAGTAAATCTACAAATTTTCCGCCCCATTATACACATTGTTTGAAGTTCATTGTGTGAGCAGTTCTTTTTTTTTCACCGTGATTATATTTTAAAGATGTAAGTAAAAAAGAAATTTATTTTTAAAAATAATTTCTTTAGCTCGGTTTGCACTTGAACTGCCACTCCCCTTGCAAAATATACAAGAAAGTTTAGGGGAGATGAATCCCGCTTAATTTTATTTATTTTAAACTTGTTCAAACCATTTATCACTTTACATTCAATCGGCACTCATAATCATCATATTTCTATAGACTGCGAATACGGTGATAGAGTCAACTACTGCAACTTAGCTGATTGTGCGACAGGATCTTACCAGGATCTGAAAAACTGCTGTGGAACCTGTAGTAATGTTCAGAAAACTTTTGCTATATCAACAACAACTACTACTACTAATGATCATATTTCTATAGACTGCGAATACGGTGATAGAGTCAACTACTGCAACTTAATTGATTGTGCGACAGGATCTTACCAGGATCTGAAAAACTGCTGTGGAACCTGTAGTAATGTTCAGAAAACTTTTGCTATATCAACAACTACTACTACAATTGATACTACCGAGTTTTGTAAGTAGCAACACAATTAATATAGTTGAAACATACGTATTAAGGTAGTAGTGAGCCAATTCAGTAAAAATAAGAACCACCCATATATATGGGTGTCTATTTTTTAACCACAGTCTTCAATATTTTCTAAATTTTGATTTTTCAAAAGGGCTCCCACCGATTTGGTTCCATGGAAAACAATTCAGTTAAAATATTTTACCTCGGATTATTTTTAGGGGGTTTCTACTCTAGCCAGAAAACTGAGCATTATTTTTAATTCAGCTTTTATTCGGAAAATATGTCAAACAACCTATTTGTATTATTTGAAGCAGTTGAACTCGTAGAAGCCACAAAGAAATGATACAATAACATTAAGATGGAATTATAGCATAAAAATGAAATGCGCCTATTTTTGTATACTAGCTTTTAAGTTTCAAAAAACTTGTTTAATAGTTGATTGAAACCATATTAAAGAGTGGTTCTGTTGGAGTTGCGCTGTGTTAATATTATTATTAGCGAGTAGTCCTATGTTAAAATGGTTGTTTAGATGTGAATAACATTACAGTTTCTTACTTTCTACGTTTTAAAAAAATAATGATCAGCGTTATTCAGTTTTCGAATCTGAAAATAAGTAACAACTTTTTTTTTGGCTGAATTGCCTAGCCGAATCCCTGGTTCTTCCACACAGTTGCTAACGAGTGATTGTTTTGATACAACTTCCCTCTACTACCGAATCAGTGAAAAATATCATGTAACAGCCTATGTATCTAGTCATGTGTCTACTATTATGTCTACTAATGTATCTACCGACAGCTTTTTTCTAAACTAATTTGAACTATCACTTTTAAAAAAAAACTTTACTAACGATTCCAATGTTATTTTCTTTGCAGTAGACAGTGTGACAAATGGAGGTTGTGGTTTACTCGCTACAACACTGACAGGTGTTCTCGTCGTCACAGCTCTCGTTTTTAAAGACAATTGATAATTTTCTTGTTAAAATTCTCTGCTAGTAAATAAAACTACAAAAAATATCATTCTTAAGTTATAATGTAAGCCTAAACACTAATGTTTACAAGTTTTTATTTAACTTGATTTCTCTGTCTGTCTGTTGTGCTTTTGTCATAGATCGAAATTGTCGAGCGAAATTTCGAGCACTTATTACTGACCGATTCGTTTCAAACTTGGCACGTGGGCCGAGACCCGTTGACAATGCAATCTGATATCAAATTTGACTTAATTGGATTCCTAATTAATTTTGTATCAATTAGTGAAAATTTCATGTATGAAGTACTATTTACTGAGCATATTAGAAGAAAGTCTGACAAAGAATATAAGAAGGGTTTCATCCATGCATTACCAATCCTATATTCTTAGACGCGTGACCTTGTTTTCTAAAACTGAGTTATTTAAATGTAAACAACGCGTGCGCTTGGGTCATATAGAGAAAAAACTAATCGCGCCCTACCGGGACGCCACCACTTCGAATTTGAAACTTTTTTCCTCTGAAATCTCCCCAGGAGTATTCTCAACAACTTCCCAAATTTCAATGCCGATCAGATTCAAGGTGTAGTAATGTATAAAAGACAGACACAGACACACACATACATTGCTATATATATATATATATATATATATATATATATATATATATATATATATATATATATATATATATATATATATATATATATATATATATATATATATATATATATATATATATATATATATATATATATATATATATATATATATATATATATATATATATATTGCTGTGAATTCACCATCCACGCGAGTTAGAATTTTAATAAACGAGAATAATATTAATGATCACGATTTAGATGAAAAGATTCAGTTATTGGATTCTGTAAGCAACATGGAAATAATGTTCAACCCCGCCTTATATGGGAGTTCAAGCTACAAATGGGATTTAGCTATAACTGTTGTCATGCCCATAATAATATCCCCCCCCCCCCTAAAGGCTCCCCATGCCAGCTTTACTACTAATTTTTACGAGACTTTTAAAGGATACTGCTTTGATGGTGCTAGATCTTGGAGATGTGTGGACAGTGAGGTGCCTACGTGGATAAGGCGTGGAACCCAATACAGGCTACCAGAGGCGGATCCAGGCCTTACAAATTAGATGTCTGCACAGACGCCTGTGAATTTCATACACTAATCATAAAATAAACGCTTAGCATTTTTAATTTTTAGAGGAAAAACACTCTTATGGTATGAACATATGACATGATTTAGCGGCTTTTCGGAGACAATCTTGCAAGGCACACGATGGGGAGGGGGAGGGAGGGCTGGATGAGCGAGGGTAGTAAAGGAAAAGATGGCTGGATGACATCAGGGACTGGACCAGTGTTTCTTCCAGACTTTTTCTCCGGGGGGGGGGGGGGGCACTTGAAATTTTCGGGGGGGGGGGGGGGCGGTAGACTTTCTTCTTGGGCGGACACTGTTTAAAGTATATATTTTCTATATAAATTATATAAATTTCATTTCGTTCGGGGGGGGGGGGGTAAAAATTTTCAAGGGGGCCGAAGAGATTCCTAGAAGAAACTCTGGACTGGACCGGGTATTCTTTAACAGACTCACTGAGGGCATCAGTGGCATTGGGGAAGAGGCAACCATAATGTCCCAACAACCGCCCGACAGATGTTGAGGATAGGAGGACATGATAGCTGCTCTAACAAGGTAGTCTTCTAAAGGTCTGAAATTTTTTGGCACAATGGGGTTCAAGAGATTGATTGTGGATGTATACACCAGAATAACAACTTAAGTCTTGTATTTTGCAAAGCTAAATACAATAACCATTAAATTACAAATGACAGACGAAATTCAGAAGACCTTCTTTGTGGCCAATGGTATCAATTTATCACTTGTTTATCAAAATGATTTTTTTTGGTAATATATTTTCTTGGGGCCGTTCGTTACCATCAACCCATTTATATGATTTTTTTTTTTAAATCTATATTTTAAAAAGTATTAATTTAAAAAAAAATCCATTGGCATTCCATCATTTAGTGCCCATACGCTAATCTATAGAATATAATATATATATATATATATATATATATATATATATATATATATATATATATATATATATATATATATATATATATATATATATATATATATATATATATATATATATATTTGAGGATTTGGGATAACATTGGTTAAGAAGACTTTTAGAATTATTTAAACCATGCCTGACGTCAGAGTGGCATCAGAAAATGTCATGCCTGGCAGTGGCGCAGCTACCGTAAAGCTAGCGTAAGCGAGACATAGGGCCCAAAGTAAATAGGGGCCCTTTTCCCTCTTAAAATTTTAAAAAACTTTTACATTGGAATTTTAATATTTGTATTATAAAAATAATCTTAAAAAGAAAATGGAAATCCAGTTTCTTTTCTACTGTAGAAGTAGAAGTAATTAAAAAATCCAAAAAGGCCCCCAAACCTTTCTTCCTGGGGAGGGGGTGTAATAGGTCCATCGGTATTAATAACACTATATGCATTGTTACAGTGTCGGGCAAGCCGTTGAGAGAATTAGCCTATAAATAAACTTGAACATTGACTCTTTTGTGAGATTGAGGCATCCGAACCCGAAAATGTATCATCATCGCTAAAAACTCTCTACCTTAATATTTCATTAACTGAATAAAACATAGTTTTGACAGTTTTTATGGCAATGTATGTTTGTGAATGTGTGTGTGTCTTTTATGCATTACTACACCTCTCGTCACATCGCCATGAAACTTTGGGAAGTTGTTGTGGATATTCCTGGGGAGGTTTCTGCGGGAAAAAAAATTTCAAATTCTTAGGGGTGGTCTCTATGTACGGTATATAAAAATAAAAGTCGATTTTGGTTTGACATAGTTCATCCGATAGCCATGAGACTTTGAGGGAGTTCATTAGAACACTCTAGGGAAGGGTTCTGTAAAAAAAATCATTTATAATTTCGCAAGGGCGGCGCCACAGGAGGGTGCGATTTTTCTCAATATACGGTATATAAAAATAAACGTCGATAGCGGTTTCACGCCGTTCATCCGATCGCCATCAAACTTTGGGAAATTGATTAGAGCACTCCAGGGAAGGGTTCTGCAAAAAAAAATTATTTTCGCAAAAGCGGCGCCTCGGGAGGGTGCGATTTTTCTCTACATGTGGTATATGAAAATAATAAAAGTGAATTGCAGTGACACCGTTCACAAGATAGACATAAAACTTTGGGAAGATGTTGAGAATATTCCTAGCGAGGTTTCTGCGCAAAAAAACATTTTCAAATTTCCAGGGGTGGCGCCCCGACAGGGCGCGATTTGTTTTCTCTATATATACCGTATATTAAAATAAAAGACGATTGCGGTTCGACACAGTTTATCCTGGTGCCATAAAACTTTAGGGAGTTGATGAATACTCTGGGGTGGGGGAGAAGGGGGAAGTGGGCGGGGTGTGTGGTGGTGGGAGGGGGGATTTAATTTTGCATGGGCGGCCCCCCGGTAGGATGAGATTTGGCGCCCTGGTCTTTCCGATGAACGCTATGGCGACTACGTTCGGTCTAAACTGTGTGATAGGATGGGGCGTTACAAACACTCACTAAATTGAATCAGGCGTGTCCGCCGGCGCCCTGGCAGGGTGCGATTTGGCTGCAAACAGTTTCCGCGCCCAAAGGCTCACATGGGCCGCTGAGAGCCATGTAATACGATTTATTTTAATAATCAGAAAAATTAACCAAAGTTAGATTAACTGGGATGTTTCTTTTTGTCCGTAAAAAAATCCAAACAGTTTTGTCACTTTGCGAATGATGCAATTTGCATCTATTTTTAGACAATCCAATCAGAAATTGAGATCGAGCATCTAATAATAGACCATTAGTACCGCTAACATATTGCATCAGTCACACTGATATTTAAAACACGTCAAATAGTTGTTTTTTTTTACGTGTTAGAGAAAAAAATCCTGTTCATTTGTGTCACTTTAGCGAATCACTCAATCTGCATCATTGTTAACAGGATGCTATTTGGCACGATGGCGCCTGTTAGTTTTAAGTAGCCAGGGGCCGTACGCGGCGCCTATGCGGTAGTGTAATCGGGGGGGGGGGCTTCTGAGAGCGTCGGTCTACGTCCCTGACACATGGGCGGTCACCGAAGTGTGTTCTACCTGATTATTTCGGTGAGTGATTCATGTACACTCAAGGTTTTCATGCGGTAGTGTAGGTAAACCCGTGTCCCGATATTTATGATCCAAGCGCAGGCATTGTTTACATTAACCCTTTATCTACTGACGGTACTTATAAGTACCACTTTAATTAAGTGCCTGTATATTTTTTAATTTAATGCGAATTTTAAAAATTATTGATGTAATTAATAGTATTATCTCCCCCGAGTAGCCGGTAGTTGGAGGGATCGATGTACTTTGAAAATTTTAAGGTATGGCGCCAATTTCAATGTCTTGCTGTATCGGTAGTTTACAATTGTTCTGTAACGTTCTCACACACGTTCCTGATTTCCTTTTGTTTTACCTTATTCTTGAAGTTTTCATCCCCAAATATTTTTTATAGGCATCTCCAATAGTCAGGCAAACGTGTTTAACTTCTAGTTATACAATTTTAATCAAATTGTCTTTGTATTAGATCGATGTTCACAAGTGGACTTATAAGTACCGACAGGGCACACGGACATTTTTTTTAGGATTTTTAGGAAATGACAGATTTTCGAAATGGAGTGACATAAATATTATTTTGATAGTTAATTATCGAAATGTACTCAAAAAATGATATTTACACATTTATAAGAAAGTTAGCATATGGTTTACATAAGAAATATTGTAATTACATGTTAATTTCTAGTAGTAAAAGAATAACAAGAATAAAGGTAGCGGTTGCAGGCTCGTTTACTAGGTTTAGTATACTTCATTTGTATACCAAAGGCTATTTCTAGTAGTAAGATTTTATTTGTTAGTTATATTTACTGCAATAAACTGTCTTGCATACAATAACTAGTATTTACGTAATGTATATCTGTAGACTAGTAATAGTCAATACTTCTGCATATAGTATAGTCTAAATTTTAATCCGTAACCAGGAAACAATAGGCCACTTCGGCTATCCTAAACACATTGAGCTCACTTCTATTTATGAACTTTACACTGTAGTGTAGACTTGTCATAACATTCTAGTAGGCTACAATTAAACTAATATTACTAGTAGTTGTCTACTGAATGACTAGGCTTTTGTTTGTTTATGCGGCTCATTGTAAGTAATAGCTATTGGAAGCTTCCAGCAAAAGCATGTTAAGTGCGCAACCGTTGCTACACCAGAATAACCACAGACAAGAATGAGGGAGCATGACATGTCGGCAACTTTTGCTGTATTTGAGGTCTAAGATGTGTTCCGATAGAAAATCCAATAAAAATCGTACTCAAAATATACTTTTGTGCTGTATTTATGTGTGAAAATTACAAAAAATGACGGTTATAATGATTGCCATGTTATTAGTTAATAAATTGTATCGTTTGTTCCTGTTTTGTAAAAAAAAAAATTTTGGAAAAATTGTCCTACATTCCTGACGGTACTTATAAGTACCAATATCTGTTTGGGCCATTAAAAATTTATGAAACGAAATTTCCTTCGACATATGCTTTAAATGTGCCAAAAGCAATATGATAACACGTTGTTTAAGTAAAAATCTCATTCAGAACATAATTCCGTAAATAAAGGGTTAAAATAACTCACTTTTAGAAAACAAAGTCACAAGTTTGAGAATATAGGATTGGTAACGCATGGATGAAACCCTTATATATTTCGTCGGACTTCTAATAACTATTAGAAAAAATATAACCAAATTATATACATAATTAGTCAACACAACATCATATTAAATGCACACATCGATTAAAAGACTTAAATGACTCCGTTAAAAACCCGGCTTTTCAATGGTATTTATGTTGTTTTTTTAAAGTAATTTGTATAAGTTTTGGCCTAGGAAATTGTATCAATTTCATAAACTACGTCGCGATAAGTAAATCTGTAGATCTAAATCAAATTTTAATGAAATAGATCATTCTTCGTATTCTAAAATTGGAAGATGACGCCATTGGTTTTGCGTACTTTTCGTACTTCAAACATATGACATGTGACGTCATCGATTTCGGCGTTCTTGTCCCAACTATAAACACTTTTCCGGTTGCATAATTAAAACTGTGTTTTTTTTTACATTCGAATATGCCTTAATTTTTTATTTTTCTTCTTTAAATAAAATTTTGTTTATACATTTAAAACACCTACCATATTATTTTCAACAAAAGTCCGTATCAAGTTGTTCATACATAGCTGAAGATTCTGATGTGATATCCTGCGAAAATATTTTGCGGACAGAGAGAGAGAGAGAGAGAGAGAGGAGAGAGAGAGAGAGAGAGGAGAGAGGGAGAGAGAGAGAGAGAGAGGGAGAGAGAGAGAGAGAGAGAGAGAGAGAGAGAGAGAGAGAAGTGCACACATGGGCTTTTATATATTAGGATTAATATTTGATGTAGAATCTAGTATTAGTCAGTTTTAATTATTACGTATCAGACATACTACGACTAAGGCTGAGGTGTGACGTCATTTTAGGGGGGGGGGGGTCTGGGTTTTTGTGAAGACGTGTGACGGATGGGAAGGTAGGGGAGGTAAAAATCGTCCAAAAAAGCTTGACGTCATTTATGGATGATCCCTAAACATCCAGTCAGGCCACAGAAACAAAGATAATGGCCACTGGAACAGAGCACATATCTATAGGAACATGACGTTTGGCCACTGGTATAAACACCAGGCCAAGGACACAAAACATCGGCTGGGCCAATAAACCAGACTTCGCGGCCAGCCTTAAGGCTGCCACCATCCAAGGCCTAGACCGTAGTATCTAGCCCCAGCTATGTGTGTCTCCCATAGCCATCCTTCCTCATATATAGGCTAATCTTGCCCACCCATTATCATCTCCACAGAGCCATAGGACCACGAGTCGGGTTCCGTACCGTCACTTGATGTTCGAGATAACGCCGGTCACTATGCACTCATGCGTTTCACATCCGATAATTGACCGCTATAGATCTTCACGTTGTCTCAGGTCTAACTTGAGCTAACGTATAGCCACGCGGTACTCCCACCTTGCATCCCACCTGACAACTGACCACTACAGGTCCGAGGGGGGTCCGTAATTTTGTGACGGTGTGTGATGAGGGAGAGGGGAGGGGGTTCAGATCGTGGGATGTCACATTTTTGCATTAACAAAAAGTAATGTTAGAAAACAAATTTTAGCCGTTGTTTCGCGTTTTAGAAAACTGTTTTAAAAAATTGTAATAGGAATCTATATATATAATTCTCTTCTGGGAGACGCTAGAAAATAAGTTGTAAGCGCGTCTAGCAGTCCCCTCCCTTCTTCTATAGGCATATCTCTATTACCCCCCCCCCCCTATACCCACATGGTCTGGTGAGCTGTGGTTCACGCTAAATGTTTACAAGCGTAGAGACGGGTTTAGTGACGGCTATTAGGGGCAGATAATTTAGTTTGAAACTATTTTAAACTTAGGGGAGGTAACTAAGAGGAGGCTGCTTTCACGAGGAGGGGGGGTGTTGGGGGAAAGAATGGTTTTAGTGTTTTAAAGCAAAAATATTTTCAGTGGCAGCATTAGTACTGTCGAATTCACAAATTATGAATTACTGAAAAGTAGAAGAAAAAAACTAAATAGCGGCGTATGATACGCCGCGGGTCCGCTCGTTGATTAAAATACCCTATGTTGAGAGAGTTCAGACAATATTTTGGGAAAATATCGACTTTTTAAGAAAAATTCAACTGCAATTTTGAGTGGGGGGGGGGTGTAGGCTGAGATGTTACGTAATTTTAGAGGGGGTGGGGTCTGGCTTTTTGTGACGATGTGTGACGGATGGGGAGGGGGGAGGTAAAAATCGTCCAAAAAAGCGTGACGTCAATTATGGACGACCCCCTTATAAATAAAGTTTGATGAACGTTTATTTGTAGATTTCTGTTTTTAGTATGACTTGAGGTAAATAAAAAATTATGATTTTAAAACTTAATGAAACGCGAGCTATCTTTGGTGGGCTTCTGAGAAGTAAGTGCAAAATTAAAGTAGTCTAGATTTAGATCTAGATCTAGATCTATTAATGTGGACCATATAAATTAAATAAATCTTTAGAGTGGGGTTTTCTAGTATCTAGATCTATCTAGCTTCTAAATAATACTAAATATTAATATTTTTTTAAAATCTAACATTTCTTTCTACAAATAACTTAACTAGGCATTTTGGTAAAACCTTTCTTAGGTTAGCGTCGTAAATTCGGCCAAAACTAGTTAGTTAGTAGTAAATCTAGTCTAGTACTAGTCTAGTAAATGTGGGAGAGAGTGAATTAATGAACATGTCATTAAATATTAATATTAGTAGGCCTATAATTTCGTATATTTTGATAAAATATTATAGACGAGCCGACCCGCGGCGTATCATACGCCGCTATTTAGTTGATTTATTTTCTACTTTTCAGTAATTCATAATTTGTGAATTCGACAGTACCAATGCTGCCACTGAAAATATTTGCTTTAAAACACTAACCCCCCTCCTTTCCCCTAACCCCGACCCCCCCCCCCCCCCCCCCCCATGAAAGCAGCCTCCTCTTAGTTACCTCCTGTAAGTTTAAAGTCGGTTTTAAAGTAGTTTTAAACTAAATTATCTGCCCCTAATAGCCGTCACCAAACCTGGCTGTACGGTTTGTAAACATTCGTGACCACAGCTCAGCAGACAATGTGGGGGTGGGGTGGGGTGGTAGAGAGAAAGAGAGGGGACTGTAAGGAGGCGCTTGCAGCTTGTTTTCTAATGGCTCGCAGAGGAGAATTATATATATAGATAATCGAATAATAGATCACTATTTATGGTTAAATCAATTTAAACATCCTGAAATTAATTTTTATCAACCCTGTTCGAGATAGTAAATTTGCTATTAAAAACAGCAGCCATCTTAAGAAAATGTTAGTAGCCTCCCTTTCAATTCTATTCGTATGAAACTGTATTTAAATATGATTGTCTTGTCGTATTTGTATAGGCCTACAAAGCATTGTGTTTTTTTTTTTTTAAATTCTGCCCTTTAAAAACTGAATTTACTAACAAAAAACATCATCAATTCTAGAAGTATTGTGAGATGAAACTTGTATCCATGTAAAAAAATCACATTTTTTCTTGGTTTTTTTTTGTACTAATGTTTATTTGATCATTACTATTACTATATTGTTTGAATGTTCACTATTTTCAATTCAGGTTTTTCTTTTCATCAATTAGTGATTATATCCTAACTTATGACATTTTTTTTACTTTTCTTTACCTTAATTAAACCCCAACCTTCATCATATTTTTGTTGACAATGTCACAACAAGTCATAATGTAAAAAATTACACGTTGCTCTGCCTTATCTAAGATCTCTAGCCATAATTTTGACAACATTAAATGTTGTTGTCATCATTTATATATACAGAGAGACAAAATGTATTATCCACCAGCTTCCCTCGTAAAACATCATCTAAAACAATCAGCCACTCCACCACTTAAGTGCGTGTTGTCATTATGGTCGATTCTAAGTCTCCACCTGTCAGACACATTTTGGCAGAGGCGTAGCGACCCTTCCCAGCGCCCGGGGACATACTTTCAATTTGGCGCCCCCTTGGGAGCAAATTTTCGATTTGCACCCCCCCCTCGAACTTTTCATTTGCACCCCCCCCCCCCTCAAACTTTCGATTTGCACCCCCCCGTCGAACTTTTCATTTGCACCCCCCCTCAAACTTTCAATTTGGCGCTCCCCCTAAGGTCGGCGCCCGGGGACATATGTCCCCCCCCCCCGCCCCCCCCCTCGCTACGCTACTGCATTTTGGTTATCCTTTGTTGTCAAAATGTCAATATCAAATGCCCAAATGAGTGATATGGGGTTGTCCATAAATGATGTCACATATGCTTCGCTACGGGAGTGAGTGAAGAGTTGTGACATCAACTCGGGCGGCTCCGCAATTTAGGATGTGTCGGTCTCATGAAAGGAGGTGAACAGGGAAAAATACCTAGGTGATTGATGGAGAACCTCTATAATGCTTTGTTCAATCAAAATAATGATAAATAAGCATTAGTATACGTATACCTTGCTCAAAACGAATCATCATAAATGTTGCAAGCCTGCTAGTTTGAGACGTTAAGCAAAACGTTTGGCGACACATCCCCGTCAAAAAGGCTTGCCACCACTTGCCTGTCGACGAATATGTCGTGCCTAATGCGGGACATTAGGAATACGGCCATTAGCATGGGGCAGCGTTAGAGCACCAGTAGGCTATTGCGCTTTGTAAGATGACGTAAATACTTTAATTCAATTACGCGAGACTGCGCGAAAATTTAGTAATGTTCCATAGTTTGAGGACGTTTTTTTTCTTGGACTTAAGGCTAGGTGCGGTACCAAATTTAGGTGAATCGGGTGTCTGATGTAGAATTTCAGTTTTGACCTAATTATTAAAATACATTAATTTCTAAACATAAAAACATATTAGTTATTACTAGAAAATAGTGATTTGTATTTTGCATTTATTGGGTAGTTTTTTTAAAATTATTTTTTTTACTTCTTTCGCGTTTTTCTCAAAATTACAAATTTGACCTTTCAAATTGCTACTCCTCAGTTAGTTCTACTTGTATCTTACTGAAACTTTACCTTATTATTCTACTGATATATACACATAACTTTTATGTTCAATTTCTATCAAAACTTGCTTTATTTTTATTTTAAAGCCAGAAATAAGCTACAATTGTGCATGTTTTAGCGTTTTTTATCAGTTTGATAGAATTTTTTTTAGAAAAAATAGTTAGCTTGGCTTTACTTAAAATGTGAAACATAGAACTTAATTAGCTTAAATCGCCCTATATAATGCATGCATTTTGGTGTGTTTAGCACTTGTGGTTATAGAGCCTTAGCATTTTGAAAATGATAAACAAAAATCCAATATGGCGGCTGTTACCATGGTAAAGTTTTAATGGATTAGCTTGAATAATAACGAAAAAGTGCATTTGGTGTATCACCTAGCCTTAACCATTAATGTCCCGTAACGCCCGCTGCCGCCCGACACCGTTAATGTCCCGTAACGCCCGCTGCCGCCCGCTTACAATACGCATAGAAAAATTAAATTTGTTTCATTAAAATTTGGCCTACAAATCCTAATTTTTAACTAAACAGGAAGTCGGATTGTTTCAGCATCCTTTACCGGTCTTCTAATTTCAATGGCGCTTTTGAAAGATAAAAAATAATAGTTTCTTTCTATCTCGAAATTTTAGACTCATCTGTCCTATTTTTAGTAGATTTAATATTAAAAATAAAATAAAGTAATGCCTCTAAACGTATCTAGGCATGTATTTTATGAATTATATATCTTAAACATAACCAAATTGATATTTAACTGTTAAATTCGATGCATAGTTGTTTAGACAAAAATAAATAAAGTTGACTACCGAAAATGACCTGTTTTGAATTTTCTCCGACATTTTTTATTTTTATACTGTACTTTTACCAAATATAATATATTCTATTTAATACTGTTGGAAAGCCAGGTTTATTCCCAACATTAAGCAGTAGTTTTTATCTTAATTTTTAATTTCATTTAGACAAAAACAAATATTTTGTGAAACTATTCACTTGATCATACAGAGTTATGCTCCTTACATCGGGCCGTCATGGGTGGAGTTTTGGTAGAATGAATGGGACATTAATGGTTAAATTGAAATATCATGTTGACTCTTAATTTTTGAAATGGTTGGCGGTACCGGTACATGACGTCACGCGCGAGCGTTAACTCGGTGACGATGTACTAAGTTGGGGAATGAAAAGGTGGGGGGTTCAAGAAATGCGACTCAACATGCTTTTTACATTTCTTGACCCTTCTAAATAGTTCTATCATCCCCACTGAGAAAATGGATCACCAATGAATGACGCATCATACTTTGTACAGCTGGTCTTTCTCCCACAACCATCCCGTTTTCAGAAAGAAAAAACCTGACCCGTCTCAAAATCACATAGCTGAGTTCTACTCAATTTCTCCCCACCACAAATCACAATTTCTATCTGAAACAATATGCTCATATGTTTGTTCTGTAATAATGCACGCTGTCATTACTATCTTAAGAGCGACGTCATTGATGGGCGATCTAATATTGATTTGATTTCTGCAAAAAAAAAAGTGTTCAAAAGTTTGACCTCCTAACAATTTTTGTGGTCTTTGATGCACACTATTAAGTCTGAAAAGGTCTATTAGTCATTCATGTCAACTATATTGAAAAAACAAAGAAAAACTACTATAGAGGCATATATTAAAACAATACAAAACAACCAAATTAAACTACAAAATCAACACAACAGACATGCGAATAGACAATTTTTCAAGGGAAACTACTCTATTATTGTTTTTGAAACATGGCCGCTGCTTGTATTTACTCATTGTAGTCTCGAACGGAGTTGTTTAAAGTTTATTCCAGGATGTTTTTGATTGGTTTAGTCATGGATTGTAATTTGTTATTCAATTATCTGTTATATTATGTAAAATATGTCATATATATGGCCAAATGAAAGAAATATTCTTTAGTTACCTCCATCGCACATTACTAGCTACATTGGAATTTGCGACGCTAAACTAAGGTTTTACCAGCATTTTTATGAAAATTTCAAAACGATTTTTTAATTTTAAAAAATGTATCAATAACAGCTAGCACACTAGTAAACTAAGCCAATTTAGCATATTTTAACTTTCTGTGCAAAGTCATTATTACTGAAAAAAATTCCAAAGTCAGGTCAGCCTGTGGCACCCTCCACTGAACTTGACTATAGGAAAAAATATTTGACCTGTGACCTTCATTAAAACAATCTACTTTTATTTTTATTTTTTATTTTTTTTTAGTAAACATGTGCTTAATCTTACCCAATAGGCCTAAGGAATAAAAATTTGAAAATTAATTTTAATTACTGTTGTAAAGTGAAATAAACAGCTTAATAAACACGTGTTTTCTTGAGGGGGTGTGACCTGGGTGTGACATAAAAAACAGTCATAAATCTAGCCAAATGATTGGATTCTTGTGCGGCACACATTTTCCTGCGCCTCGTTTTCAAAGAAAAAGATTATAATAAAATGGCATTATTGAGGGGTGATCGTTTGCTCGGACCACATCTCATACGGACCATAGATGATTACCAGTTAGTTGTAATGTGTGTAATATTGATACTTTCAAGTTTTATCTACACATAGTCTGGTTTATTATGTGCGTGGTATTTTAAAGTTATTTGATTCAAAAGTTAAGAATTATATAGAGCTACTTTCACTAAGGTGCCGCTTGCAAGACAAACAAGAGATGGCTTCAAAACAACAAACCCAGAAGGTGTGAATCGAACGGCCAAACAAATAACAATTTAATATATAAGAGACAAGTGTGATACTCAAACCATAAATTTAATTATGTTTATCAAATTGTTTATCATTATCTGTCTATATTTATGAAAATAAAAGTTTGTTTCATCCACTCGCCATGAAATTTGGGGAGTTGTTGAGAATGCTCCTGAGAAGGTTGCTGCAGAAATATAATTTTGGAGGGGTGACACCTCTCGCTTTGCCATGAGCACTGTGGCACTTAGATTTATTAAAGAGTGTGGTACACTGTGAATACGATAGGCTGCTATAATCTTTCACTAATTCAAATCAGGCACATCCTCCATTCCTCAGGGTAGGGTGCTATTTGTTGCACCCCACAATAGAGAAACTGTGGCAAACGACATTTGATGATTAAACCAATCCAGGGGCTGTGTTTGGTGCCCCTACTGTAATGTAACCAATGGCTCCCAATAGGTCCTGTCATGCCCCTGACACCTAGGTGGTCACCAAGGTGTGTTCTACTTCACTATTACTCAATGCTAGCCTGCAGCTTTTTGCTAATTATATAAAAAAAACTCCAATTAAATCTCTTCAGTTGCTTAATATATCCTTAACAACCCAATTTAACTTTAATGACTGAACTAATTCAGTTTAAAAATAATCATGGCAACAGGAGTCCACAATAGACACACTACAAACATTTACATGTTATTTTTTCCCCATGTACTTCAAGTCATCACCTTATTTATGGCCCACATCACAATATGAACATCAACTCAACTACTAGTTCTTTGTAGTTAAAAGCAACATTTCTCTCAACTTTAATATGAGAAATTAGAGAATTTTACTTCCATTATATTTAAGAAAAATAAATATCACACATCTTATGTTACTGTCTGATGAAGTAAAACAGCAAAAGACCCATTCATTCATTCAGCACACCCCAGTTGGTAAGATAGAGCACCAATGGCAAACTTATATGTACATTTTTTTAATGGAAGGAACCTTTCACTTGACATACTAATCAACCTCCTCTAACAGAAACAATAAAATTATTGTTTTCAAGTGTCATCAACAGCTTCAAAACTCCTAGGGGCATGGTATGGTACATCATAGGGAGCAGGGCATTACACTCGTTAATCTCTCCCCCCCCCCCCCCCCCCCCCCCTCCTTCTGCACATGACAATTACATCCTGAAAAATTGCCCTTTTGTCCTGTTTCCTCATTGCCACTACAAAGTTATCCTTAACGTAATCCTACCAATAAACCTTACCATAACTTAGGTAATGTCTGTGGTGTAGCTAGGGAAGGGAGGTTAGCATCAGTTTTAGGGAAATGGTGAGGAATTATTTTGTATGGAATAAGTTTATTCTTCACTTTTCCTGTACCCATGCCTGGCATTTTATTAAATTATTGATTTTGTCAGCCCATTTAATGCATGGGGAATAGTATAAAATGCTGTGTATTCTCATGCAAAGGACATTCACAAATGGGGATAATGTCCTAGAACCCCCATGTCATAGCCTAGATATATAGAATTGGACTGGACTGGTAAATGTTACTAAGGTTAAACGGTAGACGATTTGGTGCGAGAGTATAGTGCGCGTGTTCAATAAAATATTTGTGATGTGAGCATGACGTGACAATGTAACGATGATGTAAGATGCAGCAGTATGTGTTAATAAAGTTCATGTTATTTCATAACCGAAGTTGTTTACATTGTTAATTAGTGTCTGCGGAACATAAGAGTGATTCCCGTCCTCACGAGTATAATAGTAGTAGATCAGAATATATATATATATATATATATATATATATATATATATATATATATATATATATATATATATATATATATATATATATATATATATATATATATATATATATATATATATATATATATATATATAAACCCATAATACCCCACATCACCATACATCTTTATAATTTTGTGTTTTATAACATTTGAATAAAATTAACATTCCATGTTTTTACTTGTGTTAAAGGGTCAGATAAATAAAATTTAAAAAAAACGTCAATCTGAATAAAAATTTTTGTCTTAAATAAAAGTGAAATAAAAACAATAGAACATCATACATCATCTTTTCCCTTTTATTTGCCCGGAACCATATTGTTATGTGCCCTTTTTCTGAACAATTTTTATAGGATTCTTTTGTAAGGGACCAAATTTTCAAGGCTAATAGTATAGTAAATTGATGCTAGAAGATGTTTTTGTATTTAAATTCTATAACCTGTTTTTTTTATTAGAATGGCTTTACAAAAATTTTATTAATTAAATTTCTTGTCACATAGTAAATTATAATTTTATAAATTATTTTGTTGTAGGTAAATTTTGACCTGAGTAATAAAGTGTGATTCTACTTGAACCCAGATATATGGAAGAAAGAAAGAATAATGCCTTTAATGGAGCATATAGTATACTGTCTTCTGAAATGAGAGGTAATTTTACCAAGTTTCATTAAAATTATCTAGAGACCATAATTATAATAAAACGATACTCACATAACATTGTTTTTAGATTGTGATTGTGATTCATTGTGATTCTTATTTTAATTTAATGTGTTGCTAATTATTTTTCTTGTGTTTTTCATTATTAGATTATCTATATATATATATTTATCAAAGTATGTGTGTTTGTTCTTTATGCATTACTACACCTTTCATCTGATCACCATGAAACTTTGGGGAATTGATAAGAATACTCCAAAGGAGGTTTCTGTGAAAAAAAGTATTTCAACCATGGGTGCAATTTGTTGAATGTGGTTTGACACTGTTCATCTGAGTGCCATGAACCTTTATTCAGTTGATGATTGAAATTACTCCCAAGAAGGATTCTGCGAAACATTAAATTTAAATTTCTTATTGACCTTGTCCAGGAGGGTGCGATGTTTGGCACTCAGAGTTCCAGATTGATTATATTAGCATTTGGTATCCCTTAATTAGGCGTCCTGCATAGCGGGTAAATGGTTCTACTGTAAGCAGCTGTCAAACTGCAACAGGCGCAGTGGCCTGCGCCCCGGCAATTCATGAACCAAAGCGGCATAGTGCTCACACGGGAAGCTCTCGCGTGAGCACGACAAATATGATCCAAGAAATATAAGCGCAGGCATTGGTTACATTTAAATAACTCAGTTTTAGAAAACAAGTTCACACATCTAAGATTACAGGATTGGTAACGCATTGATGAAACCTTCTTAAAATATTCTATCAGACTAATTTAAAATAATTAATCCAAAAGCAGATGAAATAGAGCTCATCTGTTTCTCTCACTTGGTCATAAGAAAAGTTATTATGTTCAGGATAAGTAGTTTGAAATTATTATTTTTTGCCTACTACTTATATCAATGTAATTTTGACAGCCCTCATACAGATATTATGTAATTACGTTTCTACATAATAATAATATCTAATTGTTATCTAAACCATACCCTGGTGCATAATAATTGACATGTTGTTTTTTTATGCTTATACTTATAAAGTAGTCAAAATACTTTGTTTTGCAGATTTGTACCCATCAATAGAAATTTTAGACTCTCCACCAAATCCTGTGACCTTCCTACGAAAATTTGTTTCACAAAATAGACCTGTTGTGATAAAAAACGCCATTAACCATTGGCCAGGATTGACAAGATGGTCAGAAGAGTATTTTAGGTTACTGTAAATTTGCAGGTTTTTCTATTCAGACTTTTTCTTTTAAAAACTGTACATTTCATTCCAAAAAGTAGGAAAGTAACATAGCATAAGATTATTATAAATACAATAAAAGAAACCTGTACACGAATGATTTTTTTAAAAATCCACTTCCATAAAGCTGATATAAGGGGGGAGGGGGTAACTGTACATATGGTAATACATTGTGCATTTGTTTCATAAGTCAGTGTCAAGTATGAATTTAAATAAATTTCATTTTGGCATATTAATATGCTTTTGTTGGAGATATTTGCAGAAACTCATGTTTAAATAATATATTAAAGCTTAGTACTAGTATTCAGTGTTGGTATTTGAATCCATTTTAAATAATGCCTGAAATCTCTACCAGAGCATTCTCTTGCAGAAACCACACTAATTGCTTAATATCATGTGAGAAGACCAAAGAGAGTAATAATACTATATATGCTAGTACTAGCCGTCCCGGCCAGGCCCTGCTCTGGCTTCTGTGAAAAACCTTTCTGTTAAAGACCATTACCTGTGTGTTTAGTAATCATCATAAACCCGGCATTGCCCACCCAAACCACAACCAACCAAAACAACATAACGCAAACATAACGCTAACACAATTACAAATACAAACGAAAACAAAAACCTAATAACAAACCCAACCACAACCACAAACACCAATACAAACACAAAGAAAAAACAAAAAAGCAAACGAAAACAAAAACCTAACAACCAACCCAACCACAAACACCAATACCAACAAAAAAAAAAACGAAAAAGCAAACGAAAACAAACCAAATCCAAACGCAAAACCAACCAAAAACACAAATACAAACCCAAACAAAAAAACACAAACAAAAACGAAAAAATAAAGAACAAAAACGAACCAAATCAAAACGCAACCACTAACGCAAACCCACCTAAACACAAAGAAAACACTAACGCGAACATAAACGCCCGGGGCGGAATCACCTGTTTTAGCTTAATGAACGACTATAGTACCCCAACTTATTCACAGTCTTTTGCACTCACTTAAACGAACGCGCCTGTTTCAATTTAATGAACAATTTTAATACTCCAAGCTTATCCGTAAAATACATACAACATTTGCACTTGATCAATCCCCGCTAATTATGTAATTTTTTTTTTTCCCAACACCAAAACAAAGTAATTAAAAAGTAAATACTTTTCCACAAAATGCAATGGTTTTATAAAGGAAAGTAATTGTGTTTTCCTAATTTATCAAAGGGAAGTAAGTGCTATAGGACTAAATAAAGACATAATTAGAATTTTTGTAAAAGATGATATTTTTTTTAAAACTTGTGTTTAATGAACATGCCGACAATTATTACTGTAATTTGAAAAATGAAAATGATTTCCCAACACTTTCAATAGTAATTTTTTAGCTCATAAATTTAGACAAATGCGCACAATAATTTTCTAACACTTAAATTCATACAATTCCAACGACAAACATATGCATTACATACAGAACTGAGCTTTATATATTAGATACCATCACATTTTGCTGCAATCTCAGAAGATAGGAAATTTAGGGACGCCCTTCATGTAACATTCAATTTACCTAATGTCATTTTTATTTAAACTTATTATTTATATGAATAAGTTTTCAAAACATCATTTTGATTTAATCTGTTTATTGAGTTGTCAACTCTCCAATTGTAGTCCTACACACCAAACTGACGCAACATTTTAGGAGGGTTAACCCCAATAAAATCAAGTTGATTACCTAAGCAGCTGGGGTCCACTCTTTAGGTATCCTGTACAGGATGTAGGTTAGCTGTCTGTGCCATACACTTGGGACATTCACGACAATCAATAACTAAAATAAACCATGGATGGCAACTAGTGCCCAATGGTTGATTAACTATTGGCTTCCGCGACCACCCCACAATGCCCCTGATGTATGGGCATTGCTGAGGGGTGTTCTACCTCACCCTTATGGAGGGTGATCAACACCTTAAGGTTTTCATGCAGTACACCCTGGAGAATCTGAATAGTAGGCTGGATAAACCTGCACCCCAACAGCTAAGATACAAGAAATGTAGTGCTGTCATTGTTTATATTTAAATAACGTGAGTTCTTATCAACCACAAGTTATAAATTTGGTATCTAGAACTGTCTGATATTGTAAGGCTGGTCTTTGTAAATTACTTGACATCGGTTGGCCGGTACTTTATTTTGCATTTCAACAATCCTTTTCTTTTTAGATTGCAGCAAATGGTTAGCTAGTAGATGAATGTAAATAGTTTAAGATGAAACTTTAATTAATTTTTAAAAACTTCTGTTTACTTTTATATAATGAACCTAAAAATATAAAGAAGTAAATCAGTCTTCTGTTTACATCTATGTCTCTAGAAAAAAAATTGGAGAATTTCAAGTAACTGTTGCTGTCACACCTAATGGCTATGCTGATGCTATCAGTAATGGCAGGTTTGTTATGCCTGAGGAGAGGAAAATGGCCATGTCAGAATTCTTGGACATTTTATTCAAACCAACTCAGGACAAAAAGGGAGTATTCTACATCCAGAAACAGAACTCCAACTTGAAGGATGAGTTCTCATGTTTAATGGAAGATGTTGACGCTCACATTTCATGGGGAACAGAGGCATTTGGTAACTTCACTATTTGATATGTAATTGCCTACTGTACACTTATTTGTAAGCTGAATAGGTCGCGATAAACCTGTATAATTTTAACAAGGTACATTGTATCGCATTAGCAAATAGAACTGAACTAACAGCTGGTACAAACTGTCAGCTGGTACAGACAATTATTTCTATGGGAAACCAAATAAATTATTTGGTTCACAAATCTGTTTAAAAAAGCAACTCCAAAATAAAATTATTGGTTGTTTCTCATTTTGTTTAAAAATATTTTTCAAGATTTAATGCATGATTTTATTGATTCAGGTGCTGAGCCAGATGCTGTAAATTTCTGGATGGGAGATGAAAGAGCTGTTACATCTAGTGAGATTTTACGTACTTGTATTTTCTTGTATTTATAATGCTGTTTTTAAAAAGTGCAGTTCACTGATAGTAAAAATTAAGTCAGAGAATTCACTGTCTTTACTAGGTTGCTTTAAAAAAGTAAACTTTTTTGTTTTGTTTTACAAATATTTTCTTGACTTCAGTGCATAGGGACCATTATGAGAATTTGTATTGTGTTGTGTCAGGACAGAAGGTGTTTACTCTGCTGCCCCCCACAGATTTACCCTTTATACCCTATGGTCAGTACTTATCTGAGGAAATGTTTACATTTTAGAAACATTTATCAGTATTATTAAATGGATAATAACTGATACAATTAAATACCAGAATTGTTTTTTTAGCTATTTATTCTCATCTATACCTTCAGAATCCTGTCCTTCAGCTGTATATAAAGAAACAAATGAACAGTTTGAAGTAGTTGATGTAGAAAATTTAGACAGTATTGATGACTGTAGTTCAGAAGTAAGTATTAACACTTGCACTTGTTTATACTGTTTAGAGTTTCCATTGTATCACATTTTTTTAATCTAAAAATGTGTTAGTGGTGATAAAAATAAAAAAGGTGGCTAATAATTTGTATTACAACAGTCAGCTCTTTAATTAGAGAACATTAATATTCTCTCAAATTGTTAACTGTTATGGCTCAATTGCATTGTTTAAACTATTGCTATCTAACCTTTATTTCTGTGATGGTCATCCATTTGTGATGTCCAGACCTTGGGAGTGTCAAGGATTTTATGTCAATGTTTTATTTTAGTTCACCATACTTACAGATCATATAACATTCAATGTCTTACCCTACATCAGAATATTAAAAAATGGTACAATTGTTTTAAAACATCTAAGCAGGTAGTTAATCATTGCAGCTATGTATATTCAACTTAAACCTTTTCAGTGCCTACAAGGGTTGTGAACCTAAAATGGCTTACAATTAATTTTGATGCTGTATTCATCTGCCCACAGTCTTATATTTAAACATTTTTCCCATACAGTAATAAATGTTCATTACTCAGTTTAGATTTGAAATTTTTGTATTGTTCATGCATATTGAAGGAGGGAGGGAAGGGGGGTGCCTGGAGGTGATGACCACACAGTTTGTAGGGAACATAGTCATATTTTGTACTAACTACTGTCATATCCAACAGTATTGTAATGACATATTAAATCTGGGAATATTGATTATTGTTTTCTTAACATACAACTTATCTGCAGATAAAACCCTTGCTTTTCGCCATCAGTCATGTGATATACGGCTGTCCAGTCCATTCCTTGTTTGGCATTCAGTCATATATTTTTGTTTATATATTTAATGTTTTAATATTTATGTTTTCCAATGACCAACCTAGGTTTCTTGGATAGCCATTGATCCATTAGAACCTGATCTAGAAAAGTATCCTCAGTATTCATTGGCTCAGCCCCACACAGTGACGGTGAATGAGGGAGAAATGTTGTATCTGCCTTCACTATGGTTTCACCATGTACAGCAGTCACACGGTTGTATTGCTGGTAAGTGATAAAAGGTTTCTTACATCTTCACATCTTGCACATTTAAAGCATTTAATAATATTTAGCTTTCAAAATAGTCAGAAAAAAATAATTTAAAAACTAATACTATACTCAATAACCAAAGGGGAGATAACAAGATTAACTGATAGTGAGTACTAGATCAGCCAGGTGATGGTGGAGAGCTCTAATAGTTTCCTGCCTGAGAGCAGATCATAGAGGTTAACAAGGGGCAGATCACAAGCTCCTGATTGAAGCAAATACTTTTACTTGTATATGTAATAATATTAATTAACAATGGCCTTTTGAAGTGGGATCACTATTTTTATTTTATTTTAATATCAACTTGCTATTTTAAATTTTTTTAAATTCTTAAATACTAAAACCTAGAAAATAAAATCTATCCAATGATAGGCTTTAGAATGTGCTTTTACTCCTTAGTTTACATTACTTTTTAAAAAGGGGAGATAACTAGTTATCACTTGATTAGCCAGGTTGAAATGTGTTTTCTAATGTTTTACACCTGAGATGTCAATAAGATGGATAATTATCTTTTAGAGTTAAGACCACTTGCTATGTATTGGGTGTTAAGGCAAATATGTTTGCAGATGTTGGGTGAAATAAGATGTAAATAATCCGGGAGTGATTTCCCCTAATCTTTCTTGAATATACTTATATAAAACTACGGTTATAGCAACTCAGGATATAGACATGATTTTTAATTACTTAAACTTTTTAAAATAGAATAGAATCTTATAGAAAAAAGAATTCTGCACCAAGTGAACGCCAAACAATTTGTGTATAATAGTGCGGAATAATATTAGTATTTTATACATTTATGTATGTTTTTTTTTGAGAAATCGGAAATCGCATAAATTACTACTTCTGGTCAACGGAAATTATTCAAAATTTGACAGAAGGAAAAGAATTAGATCTTTTAATGACATGTTAAATTTCATTTATCTATCTAAAACAGTACTCAAGTTATAGGCTTTTGAAAAATTGAAAGTAGAATAAGTTCCACTTCCGGTTACCAGAAATCGCTTAAAAGTTGATACAGAACTACAAAGTTGATATAATACTTATATATGAAATTTCATCAACCTAGCTGTAACGGTACTCAAGTTATCGTGTTACAGACACACAGACATACACACACACATACATACACAGACATATAGACAAAATTGCAAAACTATCCTGACTCAGGGATGTGTAAAGCATCAAGATTTGTAAAAATCTTGTTTTTTTTTTTTTGTGCCCGATTACAATACTTTCTTTATGCTTTGTCTACGAGAAAGTAAAAAGGGACTAATTGTTGTTAACAACGTAGACTTGTTATTTTAAAATTCCCAATTACTTTTTAACAAAAGCAATTAAATGATCATTCTTTTCTAAAAGCATTAAATTAAATGAATTAAATTAAATATGAATGAGATCATTAGCGACCAATATAATCTAATCTGACTAATTTTTTTTTTATTACAATAATTTGTTTCCTTCATATAAAATGATTACATGAGTGGGGCTGGTAGCTAATAAAGCAACAATTTAATGGAAATGTCTTCAGCTTTCTGAGTGAACAGAAACATTAACACTAGATTTTAGTGCTTTGGGTGCTTAATTTCCTACTGTGTTAAAAACTGAATTTTCCTTTCATTGCATTTTTTAACTTGCAACCATAATTTTAAAAATTCACACTTTATTTCTTTTTAATTCCCTTTGCAGTGAACTATTGGTATGATATGGACTTTGACATCAAATGGGCCTACTACAAGTTTTTGGAAAAAGCTGTGTCTTATCACTAACCTTGAGTAGTGTACTCAGTCAATGGATTAGTTGAGTGAAGTTTAAAATTTGTTTAACTGGTGCTGCATTTAGGGTTTGGACTGATTATATTCTTGAGTACAAAATTTTTAATTCAAATTTTTAGTCAAACCATGTGTTAGCTGGCATTAGAAATACTTTCATTTTTTTTAACTTAGTTGTCGGAGTTGGATTGATGTTACTGTATACCAGCACAAATTTTTAAAAAGTTCAAGTGGTTCAAGTACTTATTTAGACAACTAGAAAGTATCCCACTATTCACTGTTTTTATATTTATGACTCAAAACTGGGATTTTTTAAACATTAAATAACTAGTACAAATTACTAATAAAAATTTGTTAATGTATAGAAAAGCTGATCTGTCATTCAAATTTGTTTTAGGATATAATACAAAACATGAGAATGTATATATGTATGTATATCTATTACAGATTTCATCCATTACACATTTCTTCACGTCATGAATAAAATATTGGAATGTTTAAAATAGTGCACAGCTTGTTTACTTTCTTGTATAAAAATTAAAAGGGAAGTATGGTAATTGTGCAAACAATAGAAATCTAGATTTTCACTAATCTCAACGTTTTACACCTTCTCTTGAGTCTGAAAAAAACCAGTTTTGCAATCTTGTCTGTTTGTATGTGTGAACACAATGGCTTAATACTGTTTCAGATGGATAAAATCTCATATATAAGAATTGGTTATTAATTGGAACTATTTTGAATAGCGGAAGTGGTACTTCACTCCAGTGGCGTTGCTAGGTCGGGTGTCACCCGGTGAAGCACTTCATGGTGACCACCCCCCCCCCTGAATATATAAATATATATATATAGGCCTATATATAAATATAGGCCTATATATATATATATATATATATGGTCTACGTAGGCCTATGTATATATTGTTGCAATTGGTCTCAATCCGCTTCCCCCCCCCCCCCTGTCAATTCGTGCACTCATTATATTAATCCACCAATTCATTCATGTGTAAAAAGTATCGTTTTCATGGTAAATTATTAGATCCCCTCCCTCGGGTGATAATTTTAAAGTGTGCACAGTTAATGGTTACGATGTTTATCTATAGTTAGTTCTTAATATAGGTGGTTTAACTCAAATTAATCATTGAATTGGCAAAAAGCATATTTCTTCTATATATTTTGCAACTTTCGCCATGCTGTCACCCCCCTAAATGGTGTCACCTGGTGCGGTCTGCGCCCCCTCCTCAAAACTGTATTTTGATACAGCGGCATAGTCTAAGAATTTATCACCTCTATGTACTTTTTCAAAAACCAAGCATTTCTAAAGCCTAATAATAATACAACCGTAATGCCTCTCCTTACAACCTTGCTAGCGGTAAAACATTTGAAAATCAGCCAACCTCTGAAACCAATAGCTAAAACAGTAAATTACAACCTCAGATTACTGTGCAAGTGGTGAATAAACCTAATGGTAAAACATTGGATCCTGTTGACTCTCCAGAGTAAAACAAACCTGCCTGGTAGAAATTACCTGCTTATATGCATGAGATTAACAGATGTGATTAAAGACCTTTATAGGCGTAGTGATATGTAATCTTTCAATGACCCTCAAGCTGATCACTGTGGTAGTATTATTACAGTAAAAAATTCATTAAGTAATGATGACTCCGACAAGGGGGGAGGGGGGAAGGTAACACCATGACGTAAACATGCAAACTATAGATGCTACATCCAGCTATATATAAACATCTTTACTATTAAATGTGAAAACTTTAAAGCTTTTACTGGGAGGTGAGGGGGGGGGTCATATCAAGTGCAAAATTTACAGAGGAAAAAAAAGGGGGGGGGGGTGAGTTACCGCACGAGGTGGCGCCCGACCTAGCGACGTCACTGCTTTTCCGTCTTCGTTCTTAATTGTAAAGTTAGAAGGGATTTCCTCCAACACTTTTAAGTATTAATAGTTGACATGTAATAGGCCGTTGGCTCCGATTTCAACCTGCTTTTCCTTCTGGCTCCAACACAGTTTGTCCACCCAACTCTGGTAAGTTGGTTACATAGATTCAAGGTCCCCACACAGTTTGTCCTCCCAACTCTGGTTACATAGATTCTAGGTCCCCACACAGTTTGTCCTCCCAACTCTGGTTACATAGATTCTAGGTCCCCACACAGTTTGTCCTCCCAACTCTGGTTACATAGATTCAAGGTCCCCACACAGTTTGTCCTCCCAACTCTGGTTACATAGATTCTAGGTCCCCACACAGTTTGTCCTCCCAACTCTGGTTACATAGATTCTAGGTCCCCACACAGTTTGTCCTCCCAACTCTGGTTACATAGATTCTAGGTCCCCACACAGTTTGTCCTCCCAACTCTGGTTACATAGATTCTAGGTCCCCACACAGTTTGTCCTCCCAACTCTGGTTACATAGATTCTAGGTCCCCACACAGTTTGTCCTCCCAACTCTGGTTACATAGATTCTAGGTCCCCACACAGTTTGTCCTCCCAACTCTGGTTACATAGATTCTAGGTCTCCACACAGTTTGTCCACCCAACTCTGGTTACATAGATTCTAGGTCTCCACCAGTAGCGTACGCAGGGGGGGGGGGGTGGAGCAGGGGGAGCGGCCGCTCCCCCTCTGGCCATTTTCAGCAAAGTGGCGCCTTTTTGGAAACTTGTTGAACTCAAAGTTTTAAACAATGATATTTGTTAAAAAAAATATTTTTGGTCGGCACATCTATGTAAATCACAAGATTTCTTTTCATGCAGCAATTAAGCATTATTGTACTAGTCTAGTAGTGTCTGCGTTTACAACACGTATTAACAGCTGCATCAGTTTGCCATTCTAAAAATAACCATTACGATGCATTGCAATGTTTTAAAACCTGTACGGATAGTACCACTTGGCAAGAGGGGTGTTAAGTTTAAGGCAACTGTATAATGTATTTGCTTACGAATAATTGAATTAGAAAATGTTATACATAAAACTTCACACATAATTACTTTATATATACAGTTTGAATCGCGTGATTAAATTAAAAAAAAATTACAATACAGAAACAAATACAACTGATGTGCAACTAAAAAAAAGGTGACGTCACTGTGTGATCCAGACTTTTTTCTCCGGGGGGGATGGAGCATTTGAAATTTTCGGGGGGGGGGGGGGCGGTAAACTTTCTTCGGGGGGGGGGGGGGCGGACACTGTTAAAGGTATATATTTTCTATATAAATTATATAAATTTCGTTCGGGGGGGGGGCGGTAAAAAAAATTCGGGGGGGGGGGGGGGGCAAAGCCCCCCCGAAGAGATGCCTGGAAGAAACTCTGATGAGCTGTAGTGTGAACGATAGGTAAACTTTCAAACCACTTCCATGAATTGTTTCCCTTTTTTAAATAGTCAAAAAGAATGCCCGTAAGCTCCTTTTAATAGATTTGTACTAAATAAATTAATAAACAATTAATCTTTTAATTATTAGTTTTCTTAAAATACATACTAAAGAATGACATAGTATAAAAATGAAATGTATTATTAATTAATAATATAAATACAAAAAAAAACATCATAAAAATAAACATAACACGAGAAACCATTACAAATTACACATACAAAGCTTTCATGTAAATATATACTTCTGACGAGTTCGCGTGATACATGCATTACGCCTGATATAAAATGAAACGGAGATTTTCAAAACAGACTAATGCACTCATATACAATACATGATTTGTTGTTGTAATTTGTTTAAACAGGAAAAAAAAAGCAAAGAGCTTTTTTCAAAACCCGATCAGGCTCGAAATGAGTATTCTATGTTTGTATTTTGTGTTTATTTATAAGAATATATATATATATATATATATATATATATATATATATATATATATATATATATATATATAAATATATATATACATATATATATATACTAGCCGTCCCGGCCAGGCCCTGCTCTGGCTTCTGTGAAAAACCTTTCCGTTAAAGACCATTACCTGTGTGTTTAGAAATCATCATAAACCCGGCATTGCCCACCCAAACCACAACCAACCAAAACAACAAAACGCAAACATAACGCTAACACAATTAGAAATACAAACGAAAACAAAAACCTAACAACAAACCCAACCACAACCACAAACACCAATACAAACACAAAGAAAAAACAAACGAAAACAAAAACCTAACAACAAACCCAACCACAAACACCAATACCAAAAAAAAAACAACGAAAAAGCAAACGAAAACAAACCAAATCCAAACGCAAAACCAACCAAAAACACAAATACAAACCCAAACAAAAAAAAACACAAACAAAAACGAAAAAAGAAAGAACAAAAACGAACCAAATCAAAACGCAACCACTAACGCAAACCCACCTAAACACAAAGAAAACACTAACGCGAACATAAACGCCCGGGGCAGAATCGCCTGTTTTAGCTTAATAAACGACTATAGTACCCCAACTTATTCATAGTTTTTGCACTCACTTAAACGAACGCGCCTGTTTCAATTTAATGAACAATTATAATACTCCAAGCTTATCCGTAAAATACCTAAAACATTTGCACTTGATCAATCCCCGCTAATTATGTAATTATTTTTTTCCCAACACCAAAACAAAGTAATTAAAAAGTAAATGCTTTTCAACTAATGCTATGGTTTTATAAAGGGAAGTAATTGTGTTTTGCCTAATTTATCAAAGGGAAGTAAGCGCTATAGGACTAAATAAAAACATAATTAGAATTTTTGTAAAAGATGATATTTTTTTAAAACTTGTGTTTAATGAACATGCCGACAATTATTACTATAATTTGAAAAATGAAAATGATTTCCCAACACTTTTAATAGTAATTTTTTAACTCATAAATTTAGACAACTGCGCACGATAATTGATCTAACACTTAAATCCGTAGAAATGCCAACGACAAACATATGCGTTACAGAATTGAGCTTTATATATTAGATATATATATATATATATATATATATATATATATATATATATATATATATATATATATATATATATATATATATATATATATATATATAAAGGTGCCAAAAATATTGTTTTCGGGGTGGCCCTTTTTTTCTAGTTCCGCCACTGCAGCAAGGCATAGGTTGGGTTTTCCTTTCCTTGCAGTTATAATAGTTTAGTTTCTTATTGATCAATGATATCCACCATGACGTTGAATTTTCCAATTTGGGAAAGAAACTGTAATAGGAAGTACATTTAAATAGTGAGTAACTAAATATTCTAATTAAATAGCGTGTGTTTATTGTTTATATTTACTATTATATCGTTCATTGCCGAGTGTTGCAGAATAATATTTTTTCATGAGCTTTGAAAAAAAAAAAATTTGCGCATGGAACTCGAGAGCCGCATCTTGATATCAAAGAGCCGCATGCGGCTCGCAAGCCGCAGGTTGCCGACACCTTCTGTATGCCAACACTTAAAAGTAAAACTTAGATCTAGATTCTAGA